GCAACTACTGGTGGTCTTCCAAAGACTCTAGCTCCACTCACTGGTGAGCAATTTGACTCCTCACAAAAATGAGTGCAACATCTGTCCAATGATAGTAGTAGCATTGTTCAGAGCATCCTTGTGTAGCTACACTTAGGTACAGACTATTTTCATATATTTGCTGTACAGGCCACTTCATTGCCACCTGAATGACCTTACCTCAAACTATAGGGTATTTTTGTGGATAGAAATCCAAAAAATATTCATGGCAAACCTGAATTTGTGGAGGCAGATATTAGTGAAAAAGCTAGTATGTTGGAGCGCCAATTCAATCCCTTCATCAATAGGGATGCCCTCTATCTGATGACCCACCTAGCAGCCCTGCTTCGAACCACAAGGTTTCTCATATTGTCACACAGTGTCAACAATATCTCTGACAACAACAATCAGAGCCAACAGCTGTCTGGTGAAGGCCACAGCATCACTAAGACTCTTACAAGTTGCAAGGCAGGATCAGTGCAGATTCTTGTGAGACTTGCATCCCAAGGCAATCCCCTGGCTCCATCTTGCATTACTTGATCAAATAAATGCACAGACCATATAATAGATTGGCTCAAGCTGTGCAATATCAAATACTTTTTTCTGATCCTTTATCTATAGCTAGGGAAGAAAATTGGCCAGTTGTGTGTATGCACACCTTGTCAGGTGCAAGTGCTGGATTGTCTGCTGAAAAGTTGGCTTTGTTGGGTCTTAGGAACCCTATTGGTGAGTGTTACAATTTCTACTTCACTTTCGCTTCTTTCACGGACTAGTCATCTTCATTTACTCATCAGTTATATCATCGGACCAATGACTCATATTTCTTCACAATACTTCTGATATCTGCGTATTCATGTTATCTTGTATAATACTAGTCCTTTAACGGACAAACCTACCCTAGATAGGATGTAACTCCTATTACCGACTCCCTTACCTATATATATAGCCATGTACGCATAGTAGTATTTCCTCAATACAATTCTATGCAGTTTACGCTTACAAAGCTAGACTCTAAGGACCAGACTTCCTACTGGGAAAAATAAGTGGTTTCCCTTCACAAAGATCTCTATTCAGAACTGCATTCTTGAACCTATCTTTGGATAAGCCTCAGATAACTTCATGAACCAATACAAGACTTTGTTAAGCACTCTGTGCATAACAGTGAGCTTTAAATTAGTTGGGATTTCAGAATGGAAGTGTATAAATGTCTACATTTACAGAAAGTCAGTGGGCAGTTTAGATGGTGGGATTGTCTGCATGCAACATGGAAGTCATCACCAAAGTATACACAACCTGGGTCCCTGCCTGGTCAAAATCTCAAAAGTAGTACTATGTTGCTGCTGTTCAGTGCAAAGGCTGATCAAGACCCCATGGACAATGGTGAGTGAAGCCTCATAGAATATGAGGATGGTAGTTTAGTTCAGACATCACAACATGGCATGCATCACCCTACGCCTCAGCAGCTGCTTGAAAGTCAATAGCAGCAGCAATATCTGGTCCTCCCTCAGCAGCAGTTTGCTGGCCAGCAACAATACACTGGTCAACAGCAGCAGCAGTTTACCAGCCAGTAACAATATGCTGTATCATATCTATGCCACATGTTATGGGCTCCAGACCTCCAAAAAGTCAGAGATTCTCAAATCTGAACTCCCAAATCTTTGGTACTCTCAGAATTATGCTCCTCATGCTCTGCTGCTTGGCATAGCCTTGTACCTCACCACCACATGGTACTCCAGATATCCATTCCAAATCTCCTACACTGGACTTTGAATCCACCATACATTTTCTCCACACATTCTTATGGTACACTCCCCTCACATATAATTTCCCCTTGCTAGATAATTGTCCACATGGAACTCCATACCTACATTACTCCTTACTCCTTAAAAACTCCAATCCCTCCGATAGTATATAGGCTGTAGCTCCTATACTCTGTTCCTACAGTTTGAATATCAACTAGTTCCTCCCACCTTTATTAAATTCTCCTTCTAAGTCTTTCAGTCCTTCTCCAAAGAACCTTTACTCCCCTCCACCTTTTATCCTCCACTCTCACTCACTCATTTACTCTGTTGAGTTAGGGACCAAGGTCTGCAGAAGGGCCTAGCACACGAGCTAAGTCAACTCCCAACCTTGTACTCTGTTCTGCTCCCCATCCCATCTCCACACTCTAAACTCCAATCACTCCTAAGGTCATGGTTCTGATAGGCTGCAGCATTGGAAGTCAAGCGGCTGAAACTAGTTTGTGGAAACAACATTATATGGTATAAGAGTCTTAAAATGCAATCTAAATTAGACAAAACAAAGAAAGAAGAACAGATTGAGATCACTAGGTTGCAGGCCTGAATATAGAGGAGATAGCACACCCAGGCGTATTTGAAAACCAAGGCTAACATGTTATGTGATCTGCTAGGATCCCCTGTCCATCTTTCCTCTCCCTCTGAGTTTTCTCCCTTGCAGATTACAGACACATCTGGGGCTGTGCCATCATCTTGGGGTCTCACTGATATACAGAGCCTTTTACAGACTCTATCTCCATCTGCTGACATGAATTATGATGATGCTGATATGCCTAGTCAGTACACATTCACCTTATCCAGTCATCACCATCATTTGTTGGTCCAAAACCCATCTATTTCTCAAAGGCACTATTACAGTGGGGATGCTATTTATGTATGCTTACAATATATGAATGAATGATTATACTGTGTTCTTCAAATTCTGGATTATTTACATAAATAGCTGGTAAAAAAAGCGGCCAAAAGGGTGTCTCTCAGGTTCTCCATTATGGCCAGGTCTATTTCAAGGTCCTCCTGGCCTGGTTCTTCCAAGTCCCCATTAGTTGATGCTTCTAAGATATTATCTAGTTCTCTCTGCATCAAAAAAAATCATTTTGCTATATAGCCATGCAGGTTTCTATGGCTTCTATAACAGCTATGGCATTATTATAATAGTCAAAAAATTTCTATAATAGATATCATAACTGCTATGGTAGCTATAGCAGCTATTTTGGCTTGTTCATATCTATGGGAACTTTGTTCTGATTGTGATAAAAACACTATTATTACTCGCCAAATAGTTTGGCTTATATATGAACCTGCTTATTTAACAGAAGCAAGCAAAGCTTGTCAGCAATATTCCGCCAGATCATTGAGAAAAACAACAAGTTCAGTGCAGTGTGGGTGCAAGTTTCCAACCAAAGTGGAGCAACTGGGCTTTAATAATTATCTTGATGTGTGGCTGCCTGTTTGGGTCATGTAGTCACAATTTCTCCTTGTTCTTCCATCTGCAGATGCCTCAAGGCTTTGATCAACTTAGTAAGCACCTGGCATGACATTTTTTAGAATATTTTGTGACTTTCCCAGCACACAACCTGCCCCAATTTAGCCCTCTTTGCCTCAAATTTCACACTTCTGGAGGTCAAGGCCATAGTGTCAGGTCTGTTTTTATCACTACAGGTAAGATATTCATAACCATTGCCCTTCAGGCAGACCTGCCACCTGGGCCTGGCTGCACCTAGATCACACTCCAGGCCATCGGCTAGCAGTTTGTGCAGTTTTGACAATGTACTATGGATGCAAGAGTGAGTAAAACCAAGGTAACCATGTGAAAATAGGCAGAATAATCCAAAAGTGCAATAAAGGAAAGGAAGCATAAACATAAATGAGTAATAACTCAAAGGCCCTTAGAAAACACAGCAGACATTTGTGCTCTGGAAACCTGGAACCTACAGGTCCGGGAACAAAATTCTTTTACAGATAGGTTTGTTGTGTTCTATTCTACCTATGACAGATTTTTAGGGGCTTGTACAATGATTGTTGAGCTTGTAGAGGCCCAAGAGCATATAGAGTCCGGACTGCAACATCTGTCCAACGATAGTAGAACATCTCGGGGGTACGAGGGACCAAAGTCCATAGACTGAATAGTAATGTGTGGGTTTCACCGAAGCGGAGATGGATTCGGGGCGTAAAACAAGGCTCTGAGTGTGACTGCCTTTTCTGGGCATCGAGTCACTGCTATCTTGGATTCATTACTGCGAACGAGCGGCGCAATCAACAGGCTACATAAGTATCTGGCATTGTAGATGTCTGGGCTACCTTCCCGCTGTCCAAAAACCTAACAGTTTGAATCACAGGATCGGATCAGATCTGGGAAAAATGACCCATTTAAAAGATAAGGTCGTTGGTGTCAGGTCTAGGACGAGGGCTACAGGTACGTTCTTCACTTGAAAATAAGATACATAAATTCTATAGCATCTACTCTACATGAAACATGAGTTGACGCCCCGTCGTTGACGTTCTGGAGGCCAAATATCAGAAGGGATACCTAAATCAGATATTGTCCGATGATAGTAAGTGTGACAATGTGATTCGATGCACCGCTCTCACATTCGAGGCTAATTGTAAGGGATCAGAAGCTGTCAAGTCATTTTGCAGTGCACCGAGATGATTCACCGACTTGCCTTCAGCGCTGCTTTGTGGCGAAAGTTGCGGACCGCCGGGACTTCTCTTGCAGTGAACCATTTTTCCTCTTCATTCTTTGCTCTTTTGGTTTAGCTATAAGTGAGGGGTCTCATTTCTGGACGTTTAAATACTTATCACTGACACGAGTACATTTTTTTACGACCTCGAAGGTCTGTTTTATCCGCATAGGACGTTATATTACTCGCTAATATATGCACAGGAAACCTGGGTGTTGTTACTGAGGATGGATGCCAAGCCAAGCGCCCTTGCACTTGCTAGCACAGCTACATAATTCCTACGTCACATCCGAGTCCATGTCCAAAAATGTAAACGTTTTAGCAACAATGTGCACTCTATAACTTCCGCTTTTCCAGAACGCGCAGCCTCAGCGCAGCAACTGTTTTCGCACTTAAATGAGTCCCCTCCCTCTTAGGATTTTGGTATCTTCTTTCCTCTTTTTCTCGATAATCCTGCGAGTACATCCTTTATTTGAAGTGAACGTACACGATAACTTGAAGTGACGATGTCTTCTAATATCGCATTCCCTTCACCTGTCGGTGGTGTGCCCTTTCCTTCCGATTTTGCACCGTCTGTCCTATTTGCTGTGCTATATGGCTTACTTGTTCCCGTGATGGCGTACCGAGTCGCGAACAAGAAGTCTCGCACTTTCTTGCTTGTGGGATCAATCACGTTTTCCATAGAGAGGTGCGTAATTTTGAATGTATGACATGCCTTGCAGTGGCTCATCCGTTTATTTCTACGAACAAGGATCGTCCTATTCTCTCTCAGAGCTGTGCAGGCCCATAGTTCTTCAAGGAGGGTGTCGATGGGTCTCACAGCTTATATGCAATCCACCCTCGGTCTAGGATTCATCGGGGTCGCGCAAGACATCACAAATCTTCTCCGATGTCTTCTCGTCAACACCACACTACCAATGGATCATCCAGATAACCCAAGTTCCTCTTCTGAGGCCATGGCAGCTACTTCGTCGGTGTGCAAACCTTTTGCCGAGTACGGCTTTTCATGTTCTGAATGGTGTGTTTCAGGGAGACCAACCAAAGAAGCGAAATCTTTATCGTCGTCTCATAGATGTGACAAGGCTGGCATTTTTAATTTCGACCATCATTGGAATTGTTGGGAATGCGCATTATAACGGAGTATTAAACAATGCAAGTGTTTCGCAAATGGTTATGCGACTAAGGTGAGGCTATTTTCTCTATGGATAGTACAATGTCTTAAAGTAAACACATTTTAAGATATGCAAGCAGTGCAGTCGGCTTAATTGCCACCCTTTTCACTGTCGCGATAATTGTATGGGCTATGACAACGATCCCAAGAGTGAGGTCAGGACCTGCCTCGCTACTCCTTTTATTGTGTGCTCTCATGGCAAGTCCGTCATTCCTCGACTACCTACCAAATGTTGATCTATATATTAGTGTTCATCTGCCATATACCGCCTTGCAGTCATGTACAACACTACGACCTCATTAACATCTACGTCCCAGGGGTCTCTCAACACTCCTGCCGAGAAAGCAGAGTTCTACGTCTTCCACATGCTGAACGAATGGGTGGCTCTTGCGTTAGTTCTGGGATTGAATCTCAAGGAAATATTCAACACTGGCATGTTCGGGGACTGGCGTGCTATTGACGAAACCGAGGCAGAGAGGCTGAAGAGAGAGAGAAAGGAACAGAAGAAGCGTGATAAGGAAGCCCAGCTGAACAATACTGCTGTTTAAGCGGCTCATCCCCTCACTTTTTGAGTCTGAGCGCGGTTAACAGTTGGGAGGTGGTTTATCCACAAAATTACGGACACTAGTATATACCAGACGACTGTCGTTACAGGGACAAGGCGAGTGATTTTATAGGAATCATACTTCGCTTCCATGCATCATGCATGTAGCTCTGTTGCGGACCCCTGTGCTTCGGCCACAAGTTTTGCGACAATAACTTATTCATCTATGATACGTTGAAAATCGTGAAAAGATTCGATTGTTCACATACAATAATACTATTTACATATCCAAAGTTACTAGTACATAATAGAAAAAAGAAAAAAGAAAAAGGTTAGTTGTTGCACCAGCAACAACGTGTAAAGATACATTCCGACAAGTATCATTACAAGTTAGTTAATCATATCAGTGCATTTGATTATACCAAATGTATCATTCAACAAGTTGTCACAAATTCATCACATTCATTGTTAATATATCAGGTGACTCGATTGTCTGAGAAGGGGGCCCCACCGAACATCCACATAGCATCATGGTACATCAATCCTTCCGCTTGGTGAAAGTGATATTGAGATCGTAGGGTAATGTCAACGCAAAAGGCGAAAAAGCATTCTTCAATCCATCCTTGTGTATCGAATCCTCCGGCAACGTCCACGTATATTCCCTCAACAACATAACAACTAGCGCGCGTTGTTCGTAGATGGCAAAATTACGAGCGGGACATTGACGAGGACCGGTAGCGAACGGTACCCAAGAATCCTTGAGTACTGTAGTGATTGTTGATTTGTCCTCTGCCTCGAGGAAACGAGCGGGTCGGAAAACGTTGGGATCACCCCATGTGCCGTCGTTGTGGTGGACGGCGTAGATGTTATAGATGAGAGAAGCTTTCGGCGGGATGTAGTATTTGCCAAGGGAAACCCCAGTGACGGTGGTGCGAGGAACGATATAGGAAATGGGTGTGTTGATACGTAGAGACTCACGCACGCAAGCGTTAAGGTAGGGTAAAGATTGAGCAGAAAGAGAAGCGAGTGTAGGGTCGGCGGTTGGGCCGAGGATGCGAAGGACTTCAGCGCGAGCAGCCTCCTGGATTTCAGGATGGACAGCCAAAAAGTAGATAAGAGTAGAAAGACCTCCAGCCGAAGTATCCTGATATCACAAGAGTTAATTTAAAGAGCGTGGAAAACGAGGAACAGAGTACTCACGTGACCTGCAATGAAGAGGACGACAATATTGTCGCGAAGCTCTGTATCCGACATTTCAGGGTCCTTCAACATGAAGGTCATCATATCATCACCAGGGTCTGTGCGCTTGTCCAATAGCAGTTTCTTGAATCTATTTACAAGGCTATCCATGCGATCTATAACCTTCTTGCGAGGGAAGATTCGCTCAAGGAATGGTGCGATAAGATACAGTGGGTTGGCGATGTCGTGCATAACCCCGTTATATTCCTTGACAAAGACGGACTCGGATCGGATGGCATCGAAGTCGTGACCAAGTACTGATGATCCTACAGCATCAAGGGCGTAGTGCTGAGCGAGTTCGGACCAGCACACGGTATGAGTATCGGTCGACGATGAGGGTGGGTTGATAACCGTGAAAAGGTTCTTGGCAAGAGATGTGAACTGGTCAACTGGGATCGATAAGCTGAAAGCATCGCGAATAAGCCTCGAATGTTTCTTCCAGATATCACCATTTGTCATCAGGACGTTGGAGCCCCCAATGAATCGCCACAAAAGAAGACCATCGGGAGGTGTCTCTTTCGGGTAGAGAGTAAGGTTTTCACTCATTTGTACGGCGAGCTACGGGAAAATTAGGTGAAGTATGACTAGAGGTACGTTAAACTGACCTTCTGGTCCAGGATGTGAATCATCCATCTGCCAAGCGCCCAAACAAGGACGATGCCTTCGCCACGTTGGTTTGCAAAGGGAAGGATGTGACGCTTGATACGTACATCTTCGACTTCACCGGAAAGATAACTGATAAGGAGAGGAAGTACGGGAACGCAAGGGAGATGACGGAGGTGAGCTGGGACAGTGAACAGACGAAAGATGAAGAAGGCGAGGATGAGAGCAGCACAGGTCCACCAGAAAGGTATTGCGTCTTTGACCACGGCAAAGGTCAGAGACATGATGTGTGAGGATGGGGTTGGCAAGGGGGGGGGGATAGTTCGATCATGAATGTGTTTCGCAGCAACTTTAAAAATCAGGAAGAGATGCAAGCGAGTGGGAATTTAAATGATCAGGCTCTGGATCTGTTGATTGTCAGGAAGGTGACGGAAATAAAGAAATTAAAGAAGTTTTCCGTGAGCTAGACGCAAAATGGAGCTATGGCATTTTGGCGTCCCTTACAGGCACGGAACAGTAACCGCGAGGCGTTCCCCGAGTGTCAGATAGTAATGTGGCTCGGCCTTGAATACGCCAGAGAAAGACGAATGCGGAGTGGGGTAGCCTCGTGTCATTACAGCAGTATGCTAGAAAAAAAAAGTTGTATGTTAACATGACCGTATCCAGATAAGCGCCAAGCTTACATGTTAGATTTCCCGTTGATGCGGCGGCGACGGAGAAAAGAATACGACGATGATGACCTCCGCAAGAACATGTAAGTATGCAGACTCAATGTAGACTTGTCGCCGTGGAAGAAGAAGAACCTTTTGCTTTTGCAGAAAATGCTCGCACGTTGAACCGCGTATCGTTTAAGTTGGCTGTGGATCACTCAAGTCCCCTTCGGAACCGGCCATCGCACAATATTCTTGATGAAAACTGCCTTTTACTGCTAAATTGATGCCGTTATTAGACCGGGCTTCGGCTAAAGCATGACCAACCCCGCCGAATCTCTCGCCGATTGGAAGTAATTGGCCGGGCCGTGTCCTTCTCGTTAGCGCGATCAAGACCTGGGGCCCGATTATTGCCATATTTGCGCCGAAAATCTGCTATTATTCGTGGGAAAGTAGATGAATTAGTGATTGATCATCCGTTTTCGAATTATTTCCTCGGTCTCGTCATGGTCGATTATTCGTTGTATCTCGTTACTGGACGAGAGTTGCTCCCTCAGGGAAAGGTCAGTGTAAAGATCGCCAAATAATTAATTCTCATTTACCCATTCCAGGATCTCTCCATAGGACTATCTTGTCTCACTAGAAGAGGTTTCTATCATCCATGCTATCCTTCATTCGATCTTAGTCTAACCTTGTCAATATATAGTCCCTACAAGGTGGCGTCACAATTGTACAAGTCAGGGAGAAGCATATAGACACCCTTGAGGTAAGTACAATTCCATCGAAAACAAAGTTCGTCAGACCAATTTCATTCACGTCCACATTTTAGTTCTTGGAGATCGCCCAGAAGACCAAACTCTTATGCAACAAATACAACGTCCCCCTCATCATCAATGATAGGATAGACATCGCACTAGCGGTTCAAGCGGATGGCGTTCACCTCGGTCAGACCGACATGCCTATTCATATCGCTCGTAGTCTTCTCCCACCTGGCACCATCCTCGGCGTCTCATGTAACACCAAAGAACATGTCCAGAAGGCCATCTCAGACGGTGCTGACTACGTCGGAATCGGTGCCGTTTGGGGCACCTCAACAAAGCAACTAACTAGTCCCGTTATCGGTGTAAGGGGGGTGGGACAAATCCTGAAAACTCTCGATGGCACCAACGTCAAGGGCTGTTGCGATCGGTAGGCAGCATGCTGATCACATGATCAATCCACTTTGACAGCGTTTATAGGTGGCATCAAATCAGCTAACGCGTTGAGGACTCTCCATGGATCTGTCTCGACGACAGGTCACGTTTTGGACGGTATCGCTGTCGTTTCCGATATCGTCGCTTCCACCACACCATTCCACGCTGCGCAAAATCTATCTAGTATCCTTGGCGCATTCAATCGCAACATCACTTTACGTGTCGATCAACGTTATGATGCTACGTCTAGTCACATCATAGACAAGATAAAAAACGGTGTGTGCAATCTTATGCAAACCATCAAGAAAACTAGTCCTCTCATACATCAAGTACGTTCCGTTTCTTATGTCATTAGAAGTTATCCAGTACTGATTGTGAGCACCAAAGATTACGAACGTTGTTGTCACCAACCAATCTGCCAATGCGACCCTTGCGCTTGGAGCGAGTCCCATCATGGCCACCGCGCCCGAAGAGATGTACGACCTTAGTCTCGCAATTGGCGCCCTCCTCATCAACTTTGGGACTGTGAAAGACAAAGAGGGGATGATACTCGCGGGTCAATTCGCCAACGCTTCTCAAAAACCAGTAGTATTTGACCCTGTGGGCGTAGGCGCTACTCAATTCAGAAAGCGCACTGCTGCGGAACTCTTGAACACATGGCAGGCGAGTGTTATAAAGGGAAATGCGGCCGAACTAGGAGCATTGGCTGATTCGAAAGAGGTTTGGAATTCCGATCTGTCCCCTTCATCAGAAAGCAAGTTCTAATTATTCTCTAATCAGGTCCAAGCTAAAGGTGTGGATAGTGTCGGAGGAGGATTTCTTGATCCAGCCGGTTTTGTGAAGGAGCTGGCGAAGAAGGAGAGTGAGTCAATTTTACGTGCCCATTAGAAAGTCTTCCGAGTTAACAATCGACCACCCAACCTTGGCAGGATGTGTCATTGTGTTGACAGGAAAAACCGACTGGATATCAGACGGAACGACGGTTGTGAAATTGGATAACGGACATGAAATTCTTGGTGATATTACCGGCTCAGGGTGTCTGGTCGGCACTTGCGTGGCCGTGTTCTGTGGGGGTGCATGGGCGGAGGCGGTTTCCCATGAAGGCAATGGGGCATTAAATCAGGACCCGAGTGGACAGTTGGTGAAGGGCGACATGTTATTGGGTGCGATAAGCGGGTGAGTACACTATGACAACATTTTGTCCCGAATCTTACAATTTATCCGTGGTCAGCGTATTAGCGCTCACGATAGCAGCAGAACTGGCTGTCGAGAGGAGCGATGTACACGGCTCTGGGACCTTCTTACCAGCATTGATCGACGAACTATATCATTTGACGCCGCAGGAGATAATTGAAAAAGCCAAAATAGAGGTAGTCTCATAAAAGTACATGGTGATACAACTTCGATACAAATACAATCAGACATCACACAACAGCTATTCTAGAAGCTTGAAAACGCATCACCTCTAACGCGCAGTGTGCAAAAAATAACATGGACTTCCTTCCGCCTTTGAAACACGACATGCTACGATGATGCTCCACTAAACTGCGATGGGAACGGGAACGGCGCCATCGTTCGGCGAATTGAGTATGCGCGAAAATGGCATATTAGGCGTTGGCTGGAGCCAGTTCTTCTCGTCGTAGATGGCATATGGTGGGGTGTCAATCATATGGAATGTATATGCAAACCGCGTGCGCTCGCTGGTATTGCGCTCAGACTTGTGCAAGACGCTGCCGTGGATGAGTACAAGATCACCTATGAATGACTTATGAATATGGCCAAGTGTGAGGTTTAAATAGCGAGGAAGTAAACCCACCGGGACCGCATGCCTCTAGTATGTACTTGCCCTCCGAAGCAAAAGCATCAGCGACTACGTTGGCAGTTGCGCTTACCTCGGATGGAGCAGGAGTAGGAACGGAGAGTTCCTCAAAACCGGTACCTCCCCCGGGAAGCCGAACGAAACGTTTTGTTATTTGCGTCGTTAGATGCGAGCCTGGTAGGAAAGACAGCGCGCCATTCAGAGGAGTACAGTGTTCGAGTGCGATCCAGAAACCAAGTGCTGTAGGTGGAGACGTATACTACACATTAGAAAAACGCTGCAATAAGTTGCAATTTGATTGCCATTCTCTGAGAAGTTACGCACGAGAAACGTCCTGCAGCGAGCATAAAATGAAAGCAAGATGAGGAGGACGAGACTCGGATGCGAAGTGTTCAGGCTACGTACGAATCATTATGCTCAGGTACTAGAACAACCCCCTGTCAATCAACCCTTGAAGCACTGGGGTTTCAGTACTGACCTGCACCGCCTATCTCGGGTTGTTTGAAGATAACCATGGACTGCAACGCTGAGCCAAAAACGTCAGTCGCATCATGATATCGTTGTGAGGCCCCTGGGACGGGACAGGCTTACCAACTGGATCGTGGTGGAATCGCAGGTCGCGCGCTACAGCTTTCAGGCGTTCATTTTCAAGAGTCACTTTACGGAAAACTGGGTCCAACTCATGCAGGGCTGTGCCAACCGATGCGAAAGAAGACAGAGAGATTTGTAAGTAGGGGACAGTACCCAAGGAGATGATATAAAGTCTATACCATGCCCAATTTTATTCACCGCTTTCGTTTTGTCTCTAGTCAACTTGCCATCCTTGTCAACAGCATCTTCTTCGAGAAAATATCGTATCTTGTCGCCGGAATTAAGAAAATAATCGTCTCCTACATGACCCTTGTCCGACTCGCCGGTTGTGAATCTCGTCTTGATAGCCCGGGATGGTCGGAAATGACGGAGTGATAGTGATAAGTCTAAATGATTGCAATATTGTGATATTGATATCATTGGCTTACAAGGGGATGGTCTTCGACACTGAAATCATCCAGAAGCTGTTTGGAGCGAGTGAGAAGAGCGTCTGTTTCATCTTTTGTTAAGAAAGCAGGGATGCGGAGATATCTGACGAGTTGGATGTTTGAAGATTGTTAGGAAAGTTGAAACAACATAGCCTGTGATCTAGGACCCACCCATCTCGATAGAACTACGCATACGATTCATTCGTATCAGATTCAATTCCGACTTAAATTGCTACATTTCGGAGAAAAGCTCACCTTCTGAACTTGCTCTTCCGTTAGATACTTGGTTTCTGACGTATTCATCGTATAGGGAAGATGATCGAGCGCCTCCAACTATCAAGCGATACAGCTAAGATCAAGGTGGCAGGCTGTGCTGTTTCACTGGCACCAAACTGGTCCTTATCAGTCCGTGTTTTGCGTTTCCCATGAACATCGGATAAAGGTAGAAGTAATATCACTTATGAAAAGCGGAAATTCAGACGACATTTGAATAACTCGATATTAATTGTGTGTGTGAGTTTATGCATCAAAACATTGAATTTTCCCCCATATCTGACCCCTCAAGCCTCTGGAGGATTTGGCTCAGTTTCGTCTATTGTTTCTCCGCTACCTAGTAGTTGAATGAAATGATCAATTTTGGCTTTATGTATTCGGTGGTGTTCTTGCCATCCTTTCCAGGGATGGTGAGGGTGCTGTCAAAAATCTCAGGTGTAATGTGTAGAAATATGTAGCTATCGACTTACGAGACGGCCGAAGGCCTGAAATATTTTGTCAGACGTTCCCTCAGGTTTTCCATAGAAATATCGGGCTAGCAAAATATCATCAGCACGACTGTATCTCAACTTCTTCTCTGGTGGGTTCGGTAGTGGTTCATCGGTTTCTGTCCGGTTTAATTCGTGTTTATGCCGCCGCCAGAACTTCATCCAAGATGCACGAGAATGGTGGGGAGCCTAAGAGAGATTTTAGTACGATTCGCGGGTCATATAAGTGATATTACCTTAACGGCGACATCTTTCCAAAAGGCAACCATATCAAGTCGATTTTGCGATCTATGGAGGGGTTGAGCTCAGATGTTCGAGAATATTTAACTATAGCGCACTTTCGGTATTCCATGAAACGGACAAGAAAAGTAACATCTTCGTCAGTGAAAGCAACACCCTTTCCTGTCGTACTTCTGAAAAGTGCACGAGGAGGCGTTGGAGAACGGTTCCGAGGGCGGTCAACTTCTTGTTGAATGCGTTGTTGTGCAGCAGCCAGGATCCCAGGTCCTGGTCCCGCTCTGATTTCCTCCTCCACTTCTAATTCTTCTCCACCCTGAGGAGAGTCAGTGTTACCAACGTCCATCGAGTACCCGCCTAGGCGGATTTGATGTTTGTTACAGTAGCGACGCCATGAGTAAAATCTGTAATGAACATTAAAATAATTATTATGTATAGTGGGAGCGAATGCTCCTTACGTGTGATGAGGAGCCTATATGCGATGCTCATTATTATTTGCGCCCAAATCAAAGGGCTAAGTTGAAAACATACCTTTACAGCAATTCTCTCGCATATCTCTCTCAAGCTGATAAACTGTAAGTACAGAGAATATACGCGTAGACTATCATGCACACAAACCTTAAAACCAGTCCTTGCTCCTGACAGTAATCTATATATTTCTTGAGGTATAGTACATCATCGGACGTGAAGAGGTTGCCGCCGTATGTGCTCTTGATAACGCGAGTGGGAGGAGTAGGAGAACGAGCCGGAGGATTTCGGCGATTGAGCACCAAAGTAGAAGGTGCGGCAGCAGGTGATGTCTTATAGGTATGAGGTAATGTTACTATTGTCTTTACGAGAAAAGCAATAGATCTAACCTGATTACGAGTGCGTTTGCGACCGCGAGGTTTATCGGTTGCATCGACGGGGACTGTCGATGGACTGGCTGTAGAGGGGCCAGGGTCAGGCATGTATGGCGGTGCCTGTTCATAGGCCTGTTCATACTGTAAGACTTGTCATTAGATGTCAGGCCCTTTGACATCGATGGACTCACAGAGGCAGGATCGTAAGCATAGTCATTCGCGTCACCCACCCAACCAGTCTGATCGTCCCTATATCTGTAATCAAACCCAGGCGCACCTGGGCCCCCTACTATATTAGGTTGATTAAAGCTCTCCCATGCTTCATCACGATAAGGGGGGCGAGCCATCATAGAAGGGGGTGGCGGAGGAGGAGCCATATGAGTCTGTTGGGGTGCAATGCCGTTCGGGGCCTGCCATGATTGTGGCGGGCCAGCAGTTGGTGGATGAAGAGCCCTTGGCGCAGCATTCAGGTGATGCGCATATACTTGATAACCAAACGCATGTTGTGTGTGCACAAGAGGATCGATGGATGGCGAGGGCATCGGCGGCATATTCGGTGGGAGAGGTTGAGGCTGCATGGGTTGAGGCTGTGGCTGCGCCGCCTGCGAACGCTCATCTTGCGATGGTACCGTAGGTGTAGGTCCTGGTATGGAAGGCACTGGAATCACTCTACAGTGAAAACATTGTGAATAGGCAGTCTTGACGGCAGGCTGATGCACGCTCACTTCTCTGCTCCGGTGACTTTACAGTTGGCCCAATTTGTATGGAATGTCTGTAGCGTTCCGGCAGAGATGCATTCATGGACCCAGCGTGCGCTAAGGACTATTTTGCCCTTCTTTCCTGCGTACTGACGATAGAGATTTTGACCGGATTCCTTGTAAGGATCAACTATTTATTCATATAAAGCACCGTTAATCTCCCGACTGATATCTGACAGAGTAGTAACAGGTCCTCAACACCATCGCAAAAAAGCTACTCTGATTTGAAAAAAATGGCAAGAGAACGACTTACCGAGTATATAAGGCACTCCGCTATACCCTGGTGAGACCGCGCCGCCATGCTTCTGCAAACCGATGATCAACGCTCCATCCAACATCGAAAAGTGTGGATTTCTATGGCTGAATGCAACTAGACTACCTCTAATTTACGAACTACAGAAACTCGACGCGACTTACCGATATTAATTCTACCAATATGTCTCTGTCCTCCACGTCCTTCTCGATGTATATCTGCAAGGGTGTGCCCATCATGGGCTCGAGGAATAATACATTGTTGATTGGCATATCGGGTGCCATGGTTGTTTCTGGGATTGCCGTACGGGCTGGGACTGCATTCTGGTCATGTTGATTTCGACGAACGGAAGAACGAACTGGTGCCATGGGTCTCAGCCAGGAGTAGAGAATATAATACCAGGAAGTGGTGGTTGGAGTCCTCTGACAAGGTTCAGACTTAAGGCGGAGCTTCTATCTGTTTGCAAATCACCCTTCGGACTTTCAAATACATATCCAGCGACTTACACCTTCGAGCTGAACGCCACAATATCACTACTGCTTATTCGTCATTATTTCGAATATTATTGTCTTCTTTATTATGGATCAGCGCTGCCATGGCTTCCGTAAATCGCCGAAATGTTTCAAGCTTTCTTCCTGCCCAAATAGCAAAAGGCGCCTGAGATCATGATTAATATGCAAACTGTCTACTGCACGCTTCACATGGCTAACACTTTCCGGACCAGAATCTGCCATCGTAGTTTGATGATGAGCTTACAGATAGGAGGTATGTTTCTACGACGATTGCCATCTGCTATCCACCAATTTGGAATGGTGCGGGATCTCACCTGGAAATTCGCGTCCTACTTATCATTACTGTTGTGCCACCTCTGTGATCCCCTGGGCGCTACGCTGGTCTGACCCACCTCTCGAAGGCGCGAACTGTGAGTAAGGGCTGCCCAGCGCCTGCGAATTCGTATAATCGATCGGCGGAAGGAAGGCGGAGGAACCTGCACTTTTCAAGTTCGCGTACCATGGTACAACATTGATGTCATGATGAAGTCTGACAGAGAAGTTGTATTCGCTACTTCTTCACTCCAGTTTCTCAGACTCTTCTTTGTGATCAAACTCATATATTTGTGCAATGAGATCGTCTTCTCACAGCTTCTCACGTTTGGAGAGTTGGATCACAGGCGAGTGCGACCATCACAGGTACCCATTATATATAACTGCTATCACGCAATTTTCCTACATGTTCAAGTCATTTGGTACAGGTACTGGAGATCAATTGGGGACGATGATACTCCTGAAGTCGGTGCCCACTGTCATGAATTTCCGTTCGCGCTGGGTGGTCTTGACTAAAACTGCAATCTGTCAGTCAGTAATTTGATATTCCTGAAAGTCGTGATTGAGAAGGATTCATTGGCCCATTTGCTTCACCTCGAGTTTGTGTCGCTGGTGTCGTTGCATTTGGGTTACTCCTTGTCGTCATGGTCGATCACGCTTGATACAAACTTGATAACCTGAGATGAGTTTTGCGTAAGTTGATAACCGAGTACCTGTTCCGTATATGGCGCAGATAAGGGTGCAGATACCGCTTGCGACCCTGCTCCCGACAGCAACATACAGCGGGTGATGGCGGGCCGCACCGCCGCAGGAGCGAGACTGCTTGGAATCTGACATCTGATATCAGAGTGATAGCAACCACTGCATGATCCAGTTAACACCCACATGCATTCCAAGCATTCCAAAGCACTCTTTTCGCTCCAGACCAAGTCTTTCTTACCGACCAAATTACTGGTAATGACATGACAATCGATAGCAATTTATCTCCAGACTGTATTACGGTGTTTGAGCATATATACCATATGCCAATGGCCTTGATGTTTGTACGGTACCGGGTAAAATCAAATTACCGCGTGTCAATTGACCCAAGTTCAGTGTGTGAAGGATTCGCAAAGAAGTTCATATTGACAAAGATATTGGAAAGCGGTAGGACCCGCCGTGGGGTGAACGGTGGGAAGCGGTAGGAAGACATCTTGAAACTAACTTTTGATGTGAGAAGATACAGAGGAGAACGTAAGCTCCTGAGAGCGATAAACCCGATACGAGGCATTTGAATGCAGAGCAACGACACGTCGATGCTTGGCAACGGTGTACGCAGATAGCTCTTCTGTTGCGAAAGAAAGCCTGATGTTCGGGGTGTCCGAGTGGATCGTGTGTGCGGAACCTCAAGTGGAGGGAATGAAAAGCATGATGAATGAGAAATAGAAAACTCATCTGAAATGTACTTAATGGAATTTATTAGTGCAGTTTGTACTTGTATCATGATAATCAAGATGTCTGAGTCGAACATTTCGGGTCAACAGTCAGTCACGCATCAATGTGGGGCATCTATCGGTAAGGTGACGATGGCAGAGCTTGTCAACTAACGACATCAGTGATGAGAGGTTTGATAAGAGAAATCTTTGAAGCTCACCAGACATGATTCGAGTGCTGGGTCAAGGCTCAACGAAGACGAACTGATAAAATAAAAAAAAGAAATGTCGGCAAGCTGGCAAAAAAAAATAGAATAGACAGAAAATAGGCTAGCGCCAAGCCATTGAGTGAAATTAGCTCAGAGAAAGAAGGCGGGAAAACTAAAGTCCCTGCTGAGTTCAGGGGTGGATGTACGATCGCCCTCGCTTTTACTTTCTCGACAGAGGGGAAGAAAAAAAGAAAGTCTGAGAGACATTTGGGTGGCACATGATCGAGGTATAAGAAAATCTTGATGGATCGAGGGATCCCATGGTGGCAGGTGGTGGCAGTAATATGGCGAAGTAAGAGATCTTATGAGATCGTGATCGAAGTGGCATTTGTTCGAGCGCAAGGGATCCGCTGGGTGGAGATGGGCTAGAGCGCATGGAGGAGGTGAGACTTTGCCGACGAGCACGACAGAAGAGATAAAAGGACGCGAAGCAGACACTCGTGTCTAACAATTAGCCACTTTGTGGACAAGTAAATGGGGTGCAACCAGTGCACAACAATAGACAGTTTATTCGCAAAAGAAGGAAAATAATAGGAAAAACGGATGAAATAAGTGTATAAAATGGACGAAAAGGGTATTTGTGTGTGTTTGTGCTGATCAACGGGGCCACTGCGGAGTTTGAAGAGGTAATATCTAACTGTTGTGCTTGCAACCGCTGTTACGCCGTTTTCCCATAAACTAGGTGCTCTTGTCTCGCCAACATACCGCGCTCCTTCACTCCCTTCCGCCAGTGCTCCCTCTTCTTTCCCTCCCGCCATCATGGCGTCCGTCGCTGCCAGGAAAAAATCCATAGCATCCAACCCTGGTCTCATCATCGACACGCCTGTCGCCAACAATACGCTTCTCAACAAGGCTGCATCCCAGTCAACATCGCTCTATCAGCAATGTTCTTCTCTCAGAACACGTCTCATGCGCATCCACAACTTTTTCCACTTCTTCGCTCTCTCGGCACAGTCCGAGTCTCTTCGCCAGTCAACCGATCCTGTCACACAGCTCTGGGATTGTTTCGCCCTCGGAATCCCTCTCTGCTATATCTTCAACCTCCTCCCCTCCATAAAGCCCATCAGCGTCAATACAGACCCTTCTATTTTCAATGTCAACAACGAGCGTGACAAGAAACGCGCTATCGCTCTTTTCGCCATGCGCATAAAAGAAGTCGAGGGCTGCGAACAGTTTACCGTCACCGACCTATGGGATCGAAACTCAACTGACGGATTGGTCAAGGTGTGTTCTTTGCCTTCTATCTCCCGGGCGTTTCGCTATATTGAACACTATCCGTAATTTTAGGTAATCAATACTGTAACCACTATTGTCGACTTATTGCCGCCCGACATGTTCGAGGCCGCGCCCTTGTCGCCACCATTACTGTCATCTCATGATTCAATCGATTCGCTCGTGGCAGACCCTCCAAACACTGCCGTTCCTGCAAATGCGCGGGAATCCGCTCGTAACAATATAATTAGGGAGATGGTTGAAACTGAACGCAAATATGTACAGGATCTTGAGGTCATGCAGGTGAGTCATAGTTGGCTTACTCGGTAGTCTCATTGTCTCAGTAGAGTTTCTGTTAGAAATATTCCATGGCTCTGTCTCAAAGCAACACTATCGACCAGGATACCATTCACCTTCTTTTCCCTGGCCTAAACAAGCTGCTCAACTTTCAAAGAAAGTTCCTTATTCGTCTAGAGAGCACTGCCGAGTTGCCGTGGAAGGATCAGCGCTGGGGTCTTCATTTTATTGAGAACGTGAGTTTATTCACTATGCCATTTCTATCTTTCATCACTTGCTAAATATGGCTTTCCCCTTCATATTTCATTCTACGGATACCTGATTCATTCATCGATGGCGTACCTCGCGCTAATTGGGAACAATAGGAAGAAGAGTTTTCCGTATACGAACCTTACTGCGCAAACTACACCAATGCGGCAGATATCATGCTTGCAGAGGAACAAAACTTGATGGTGCGTCCAATGAACCGAGCTCCGAGAGTCTGTTAGGCTGTTCGCTGTCGAGAACAACCATGTGCAACTGTTGGCGTGGTGACGGCGAATGCCGAGACTTAAGGCCGTTTTGGGAAAAATCCGAATACAGGCTTATGTTACCCGTTTAGATTCACAACAACCTCATCAACGCGAAGTCGGAATTACCTGCTTTTCTCATCAAACCCGTGCAGAGGATATGCAAATACCCCCTGCTGCTTGACGTGAGCATACACCTTGCATAGCCTTGCCCTTTCCGCATTACTGATCAATGGCGGTAGTCTCTCATCAAAGCTGCCAATTCGGCAGAGTATCCTCATTATGACGAGCTTCAGGCCGGCTCTGCAGCTGCCAAGCGGATCACAGACAAAATCAATGAGGCACAACGACGTGCTGAAAATTTGCAAACCGTAAAGAATTTGGAGGGCCGTGTTAAAGACTGGAAAGGCCATCATCTTTCCAATTTCGGAAGCCTTCTTCTGGACGATATCTTTATGGTGACAAAGTCCGAGGTCGACCGCGAGTACCACGTTTTTCTCTTTGAGAAGATCATTCTTTGTTGCAAGGAGGCGCTTCAGCCCCCTCCTAATGGGAAGAAGGCGACCAAGAATAACTCTATTTTGAAGAAGCAGGGCAACCCCCAAACTCCGATCCCATTACCGTCTGGTGTACCAAACAAGAAGAAAGACACGCCTTTGCTGCTCAAAGGACGTATCTTCTTGAACAACGTTACTCAGGCTATCCCATCTTCGCCGAGGAATTCTACAGGTTAGTTCCGATTACTATCATCATTTAGAGTTCTCAAACCTTGCTTGTTTGTTTAGGCTCATCCGCGATAACGCCTTACTCTCTGGCAGTCTGGTGGAGAGGTGATGATGATCTGGAATACTTCACTTTGCGCTGTCGCTCTGAAGAGCAATTGCGACAATGGGAGACCCAGATCAACCGATTGATCAAGGAAGTTGCTAGCCGTCGAGCTTCGGAGCGTGGCTTATCACAGTTTGTCTCGCACGCTAGTCATATATCTGTTCCAGCCCATCAGTTGCGACAATCCCAGTTGTCTAACAATCACGATAGGGCGTCGTCATCTATTTCTCAATCGCAGTATCTGAACAGCCTTCCACCTCATCCCGCCAGTAGTCGCACTCAGCGTGTTGGCCCATATGGCTCGGAAGAACAAGCGTCGACGACGTCGTCCTCTGGATCGTACTCTACTGGCGGGCCATATTCATCAGCTGAAGGCTTTGAGTTTGATCTGGACGATGAATTCGAGGATTATCCTCCCGCAAACAGCATGCCCTCTTCTGGAAGGGGAACGCCGATGGGATCCCGCAGGAGCAATGCGCAAAGCATGCCTCCTGAACGTGATACCATACCAGGCTACGACCGACCTCGGGCACGCACGGAAGACATGAATGGTCAAGTCATGGCTCAATGGAGATCCCACAACGGCGTGATGCCTCTTCCGCCGATTGTCAGTTTACAGCAGCAGATGCACCGCCCTTCTGCATCACGTCTGAATTCTACTGCGAGTGCTGTAAGTGGATCGAGCTATGCTTCTGATACCAGCTTTGGTTCTGGCGTCAGGCCACCTCGTGCTCCTTTGAACAGCAAGTTCAGTTCTTCCAAACTGAGGTCGCAGTATGATAGTGGCGAGTCGCCGCGGAGCATTACCCCAGCGCCGTCTACAAATGGGCATGTCATACCACCTCCCAATCGTTCGCGTAGCGCCAGTCAGCCAAATGTATATTTTCCAAAGGGTGTTCCTCCGCCTGTACCCTCCACGACGCAGTGGACGCACAGATCAAAAAGCTCCATGGCCGAGAGCAAACGGGGGAGCGGTTCAAGTCAATCTACGGGTGACAGCTCGGAAGATTCTCCAAACAGCTCGTCTCCTATTACACCTTTTGGTTCGAGTGAGTCCTCTCTCGGGGGGTCAGCCCTCCACCCCTCACGGTCTCAAAATTTTGAGACTTTGGCTGCGACCGGTGCTCATTTCGCTTTCTCACCTCCAGTAAAGGTGAAAGTTCACTTCAACGAGGATATATTCGTCATCCAGGTTCCCAAGTCCACGGAGTACAACGATCTCGTCGATAAAGTTGGCAAGAAGATCCGGCTGTGTGGACCACGCCGTGACGATAGCCCATTGCGAGTAAAGTACAAGGACGAGGATGGTGACATGGTCTCTTTGGGGTCGACAGAAGATGTCCAAATGGCGTTTGAGGCATACCGACCAGGAGGACAGGTCACTTTATACGTGACCTAAACTTCCACTGCATCATTTTTCTTTATTTCGTTATTCCCCATATCCCCTCTAGCATCGCATCCATCATCCAATAACCTACTTCGATCTTCGCTCGTTAAATTCTTTGCTTTTTTCTTTGGGGACTATCATATTAAACTGCACATTCCTTTCACATTTTGTGTACTACTGGCATGTTCACACCCACGCTCATTACACTTGTTCCATTTTCTCATCCGCGTTCTGACATTTCCCTCGGGCAACCCTTTCAGATCTGGATCAATCACACATGCCGGATACATCTCTTTATCATCTACATCATACTCGTTCTGCCCCCTTCGTGTCTACTCGGATTCCTTGGCCCTTTGCGTCGGCGTTTTATCTAATATTCGGAGCATTGGTCATGTGTAATTTTTACTAGAATACTGCAATCGCTGCTATAGGTCTACCTGAATACATTATGTGTTATTGCATACCGTTCTGTTCGAATCTATGAATACTATGCATTTTCAAAGGCAACATTCAATGTGTTTTGTGCATATCTAATGCTACATTTATATTAACGATACCGGATAGGAGATAAAGCTTCTAGTTCACAACGCATCAGGCGAGATGTCACCCAGCGTGTTTATATCTGCTGCACTCATAGTACTGTAGGCACTGTACAACGAGCGTGTGTCGTCGCCATACTCGGATTGAGAGTCGATGGTTTCCTGATTGGTAAATGAAATGAATGAGATGAGCGTCTTTCAAGAATAAATTAACTGACATCGAAATAATGATGAGCGATACCACGAGGGGCTGGAATGTTTACGTTAGATTCAGGCGGTCTTACATACAACTTTAACAAGAATACTCACTGCGTGGAGTTTTTGGCAGTCGACAACTGACTCCGCTTTGCAAGATATGATAGGCGACCAGCCCGGACCTTTGGCATGCAGGTCAGCAGTCTAGGATGTTATCCGAGGAACACCGGACTTACCATCCCGTCTGATGCGAAGCACCTAAACCGCGGCCATTGTCGGCATGGAAGAACTTTAGATACAGTAAGATGTCAGCATCCAACAGAGTTTGACATGCATGCATGCAAGTACCTCATAAAACCACACATAATCACGGAAATTAGGATCGTGGTCCAACTTTGGATTTCCGCCGTTAGTAGCTCTTTTTCCCCCCATGTCGCGCCCAAAGATGTGTATTATCCGGTGTTGGATCTCCTCTGCAACTTCAACGAGATTCATATATTCACCACTGCCCGTTGGGCATTCGACCTGTTATTGTGAATTTTAGTCAGCAGGCTATTTATACACAGAGGAGAGAAAATGGCTAAGTTACCTGTAGATCATCTCCGTAATACTGATGGAATCTTTGGAGACTCTCTATCAATAGGAAATTCACGGCAAGCCCTGAGAGAAATTTGACCTAAGCGTTTGAAGCAGCCTGGAAAGCTCTCGTACTCACAGATTGGACCCCTCCAATTAGAATTTCCACCAAACATGCCAGAGCGCGAATCTCCAGGCCAATAACCAACTTCATACCATTGGCCATTTGCATTCATTCCCCAGGGTTCATCCTTATGCTTTTTTGATAATCTTGAAAATGGGGTACATGGTTAATATTGAAACATTGCGACGACAAATTTAACTCTAAAACTCACGAGCGGATGCCATGTTCACTGAAGAACTCATCCTCATCCAGCATCTTTTCTAATATCCGGATGAGACGCTCCTTACTCGCCAAGGCCAAAAGACGCCGTTCACCCTTACCTCCAGCTGTATTGTAAGGCTAGTATGATTATGTTACTACCCAACCGGCATGCAAAACTCACCTTTCATATTAGCCATGTTTCTCTTTGATACCTCGGGTCGATTATCTATGAACCACTCCATGCGCTTTTTGAAACCGGGAAAGCGATTGATTGTCGCCGGTTCAAGAACAAGAGTTGCATAAAGTGGTATCAGACGACAAGCTGCGAACAGGAGTTGCTTCGACTGTCCTGGGCCAAATTGAATAACGTCATAGTACATTCCGTCCTCTTCGCTCCAGAGACTGAGTTCGTTCTCTCCTTCCCGATATGTCATGGCATCTGCAATGAAAATGAAATGCTGCGGTTTGATGCACAGGAGCCGTCAACAAGGCCAATGGGTCATCAGAATTCTGACTCACCTCGAAGAATTTGGATGCAATATCTTCATAGACTGGATTATTTTTGGCCAGTTCCAAGGCAATGTTCAACCTATCATCGTCTAAGACCTTAGAACTAAGCGAAAAGCGAATAACTCACATATTGAGGCAATAGAATGCCATCCAAGCTGTTCCGTCCGCTTGACGCAGTGTGCCGCCTGTAGGCAGCGGTTCTGAGCGATTGAAAACGCCGATATTGTCCAGACCTAGGAAACCTCCTTCAAATACATTATTTCCGCCTTGATCTTTCCGGTTAACCCACCTGAAAATAATTGATAGGAGAACGCTATTTGGGGATCATAAATTCATACCATGTGAAGTTAAGTAAGAGTTTTTGGAAGACCCGCTCTAGGAAGTCGAAATCTTCTTTACCAGTGAGCTTCCGCTCGATCTTAAATACTCTGAATGTTGCCCTAAATAACACAGTATATGTGAATGATTTGATGAAACGACTTTGGGGAATTTGAAGTACATACCAGGCATGGACAGGAGGGTTAACGTCACTAAAATTCCACTCATAGGCCGGAATTTGACCGTCGGGCTTCATATACCATTCTCTGGTGAGCAAATCCAGTTGCTTCTTTGCAAATGCGGGATCAACCACTGCTAGCGGGATGCAGTGAAATGCAGTATCCCATGCAGCAAAGAAAGGGTATTCCCATCTAAGTATGTCACATTTAGCTACATTTCGATGGCCCTGGATGAGATGATAGGCTAGCGTACTTGTCAGGCATGGACAAAATATCCGATATATGCATATGGCGCCAATCCTGTGCAGCCCTTAAATATGAGGAGTTCGTACAAAATTTCATCACGCACCTTGTTTCTAATATGCTTGCGTTCGGGTGGTGGTGGGGGCTGAGCCGGATCACCCTCGATCCACTCTTTCTGTATGAACTGATAATACTGCTTGGTCCATAACATACCTCCAAGAGCCTGCCTCATGATTTGTTTTAAATCATCGCTGATAGGGCCAAAGACCAGTGAATTATAGAACTCGTCTGCCTCCTCGCGGCGCTGCTCTACAGTGTCGTCAAACAGACCGTCGTCCTCCACATCAGGATTTTTTGAGGGTGATAGAGGCGTTAGCTTCATGCGCACGACTGCACATCCTCCATGGCCAGGCACATCACGAAATACGTAGTGGGCAGCTGATTTTGTACCGGTTTTCTCTGGGTTGACAAACGATGGCGGAGGTGGAGAAGGAGCACATAGGCTTACGCGCCGTTCGCGTTTTTCGTTCGGGCGAGGCGTTGTATTGACATCTTCTCCGCTTCCGTTGGGGGACCCGCCATCCACTTTGGGTCGATGGGTCATTATTATATGATCATGGAAACCATCTTTAACATATGGTTTGACATTTTTACCGTCATATAGCCTGCGGAAATTGGTGTCATTTTCTGTGAAGATAAGGTCTGGCTGTATCGTCGCCTCTTCGCATTCTATGTCTTCAATAGGTTTTCCGTCACCGCGAACTGGTGGAGGTGAGGGAAGACAGTATAGGTAAGCTTTCCTCATGGAAGGGTGCCTCGCTACTATATAGTTGACTTCGCTGCTAGTCACCGCGGCTGTAAGTGACGGCATAGTCGGCTTTTCTGAAGGCCAAGACCAGGTATTTTTAAACCATAGCTGAGGAATAATGTGCAGAGTCGCTGGCTCTGGGCCACGATTATAGCTTGTGATCCGTACGTAGACGTTTTCCGGATCGTCTTCGCCTTTCGCGTACTACATATAATCCCTGTCAATTTTGAGAAAGTCGGTAGTCCAGATTACTTACCTCTACAAATACATCCCAGTAACGATCACCATCAAATGCATCTGTATCCAGTATCTCATACTCCGCGACATCACGGTCCCTGTGGATGTTTTCATTCACGAGCTCTTCATATGGATATCTGCGTTGAGGATATTTGTACAAGAACTTCATATAAGAGTGTGTGGGAGTAGAGTCGAGGTAATAGTAGAGCTCTTTGACATCTTCCCCATGATTTCCTTGGTGGCCCGTGACGCCGAACAATCGTTCCTTAAGAATGGGATCTTGTTCATTCCAAAGTGAGAGTGATAGACATAGGCGTTGGTGATTATCTGATATTCCAGCAATACCGTCCTCACCCCACCTATATGCGCGAGATCGAGCGTGTTCGTGAGGGAAGTGACTCCACGCGTCGCCGTTTGCAGAGTAATCTTCACGGACCGTCGCCTACAAGCAAGATCAAGTCAGACAAGGCTAAACAATTATTAATCCGATACCATTTTACCCATTGTCTGTCACTGAGATATGGTCCCCACTTTTTCCAGTGTCGTTCTCTCTTTTCGTCTTGTAAGAGACGATATCTCTCGGTCCCTTGATAGTCGGCTCCTAGTCTCTCTGCGAGTTTCTGGCGATACTTTGATTGTTCAGCATCCAATCCATCTTGAGAGCCTACTGATAGCGACTTTGCAATTTTTGGCGGAGGAACTGGAGAAGCAGGAGGTTTTGGGATGTGTATGGTCAGACCAGGGTCAGAGGCCTTCGAATCAGTTTGTTGAACGTTGCCACCGCTCTCGCCGCCTCTGAAAAGCCTCCCTTGTACAGACTTGATGTATTCTGAGGACATGATGGGAGGGAGGGGGGAGAAAGATCGATGGTTATCGCGTTCTCAAATCCGGGTTTATATATGTTCTTTCTAGTTCGAAGCAGTAACCCAGTCTGCAATGACGTCGGGCGAAGTGATGGGTTACGTAATCCAGATAAGTGCAAAAATGCCGGCATCCTTACCACCACCACACCACACCGGGCCAAGGTTGTTCAGGTCATTATTTAGAAGTTTTGCCAAACAAATATATAATCCGTTAGTTTAAGAATACCACTCCACAAACAAGCCATCAGAGAACAAAGAAAGATCAAACTGGCTGATCCGACAAGCGGTTGGGTATATCATGTATGTAATGTAAGATGTTAATCTCAAAAAAAAAAGAAAACAGCATAAAGCACTGAAATCGTAGTAAGTACCAAAATGCCAACATAATGAAAAATGTTCGTTGAAAGATAGTAGCAGACACAGGGAACGAAGCACAAGTAGATTGGCTGCCTGCAGATCATATGATTTCTACAAGAAATACCATCCCCGAAGAAAAAAAGTTGACAAAAACAACAATGAGTCGTAGTATACGTCGTACCAAGTCAGACTGAACTCGCTTTTACGTCGTGCCGGCGACCTGATTTTGTTGACACCAAAGAGCATCGCTATTACAAGCTGATCCAGGAAATCAACGGATTTTGTTGACGCTCCAACCTCCCTCTGAGTCAGCTGCCATGAGGACACTCTGTGCCCAATCATCGTCATCGTCCTTATCATCATTACTTATCGATACGTTGAGATGACGATAGGGAGCTCCCGAAGTAAAGGAGTTTAACGAAGTCGAGGAACTGTTAAACTGAGCAATTGGTGTCTCTAATGCCGTTGCTAGTGATGTATTCGACTTTGAAGCTTGGTGAAACGAGGAGTTCTTTGGAGTTGGGCCTGAATCATATGTTCTTGAGCTGTCATGATCAGCGTCCTCTTCGTCCTCGTCGATACCTAATGAAAGTCGAAGCGAAGAAGAGTCGATTGCCGTGTTAAGAATAGGTGGAAAGCTGTATCGGCTCGATTGCGGTGCAGTAACCATTGATTCGGGCGATGACGTTGACGTAGACGTAGACGGCGACGAGTATGACTGAGAAAAGTTTTGCTGTGTAGATGATGTGGTCGACGATGGAACAGACGGAGAGACTACTGGCATCGGCGACGCAGACCGCTTGGAGAAAAGCAGATGTAACGAGGGCTTTTTCATCCTTTTCGCTCGCGATGCTAAAGAGCTCGAGGTGAGCGCGTCTGCTTGCGAGAGACTAGAATGAGAAGGAAGAGAAAGTAGAGGATTGAATTTCCTGCTTGTAACGGGCGTGGACGGGACGCTTCCACCCGTTGAAGGAAACTGAAATTGTGCCTGAACTGTTTGTTTTTTAGGCGTTGAAGGGAGAGGCAGATGTATTGCCTCTGCAATAACAGGAGAGCGGGGAGAGTCAGAAGGCTCAGATTTATCGAACTCGTCTGTAAGAGGGAAGTGCTTGGGAGGAAGTGAAGGGGAACCTGAAGACGTCGATGGTGTGGCCAAGGACTCAGCAGAAGATGATAATGAAGGTGGTGAGTAGGGATTAGACAAGTTATAGTTCGCAGAAGTAGGTGTTGGTGGTCGATGATCCTGTGAACTTTGTGACACTGATGAAGTGTCGTCGGGGCTAGGTAACGAGGGCGTTATCTCACACGACTCGGGTGTGGTCACCTCACTGTCTGAGGAGGCCTTTCTCGCAGGCGATGACTGAGATGATAACGAATCGTTGCTGGTTTCACAGTCCACGTACAGCGTCGACGTTGGGTCTTCTCCCACCGGAATATCAGGTAGCGCACGGGCGGAATCCTCGACATCGCCTCCGGAAGGTGCATTATCCTGTGTTTCATCTTCCACAGATAGACTTTCCGTTACCTTGGAATGCATTTCCATAGAATCGGGAAGTGCTTTCGTTTCCTCCTTGACTGCCACAGCACTGTCATCACTGCGACTTGAATTCCGTACTTGATCCACCATCATATCATCATTGTCGAGAGAAGTATGATTATCGGAAGAAGCCCCGTCATCCCACAACCCTTCACTCTCACACAGAGCTTGAAGCAAGGAAGGGTTCATGTTCAAGCTCGGACATAAAACCAATAAGAGATTGCTCAATGGCATCTTTGTGTCCCCTGACCTGGACGCAGTTGCATTAATAAGTTCAGTGACGGTTCTTAAGAGATCGCGATTCTCCTGAGGGAGCCGGGCGATCAGCGAAGACAAGGCCCTACGAAGGGACTCCGAAGGAGGGCTTGATTTGGCAAAGACGGGCATGGCAAGGGTGGACAAAGAGGGTGGCTTGCGTAGACCAAATTTCGGTGATGATGGTAAAGGTTGGTTGCCTTGAGAGGGACCTTGCGCATTGCGCTCGGTTAGGATAGCTGCCTCGAAGTAGGGCGCTAAGGCATGCGTCAGGATAGGTTCTGGTACTGAAAATAATTCGAAAATCAATCAATGACCCAGAGATTAACCAGTTACACATACATTCACGCAAATAAGCCTTGAATATGGACGCAACCGCGTGCGGATCTAAATCTCCTGGGTTACATAGTGCAAGGTCATAATCGGCGCCTAATAAGCTGTTAGTATTTTAGCGTTTTCAAACGAGGAAGATTTACTGACCAGTGTCGAACTCCGTTCGTAATTTAGCTACGTGCGATGAACGACCGCTGACACTATATGCCACGAACAACAAAATGAGAACGACGCCCACATATCATATAGGAGATATAAAGTCTCACCGGAAAAGCCCCAACTCCTGGACACCACATACTAAAATATGTTGCGCACATCTTACCACCAGGGCAGGCAATCGACGATTCTCTAATGAATCATCAGATCCAGTCCGTGGTTTTCCCTCTCTAGTTTCCGACTGGCTTACAGATACTGCATCCGTAGGCCTCCGTAAACTTGATATACTTGTCCGCATCGCTTCTATGGCAGTGTCCCTAACACATGTCTTCAGATCCCGTCCGAAGACCAAGCCACCCGCCACACCTGCTCCCCCTGGCGTAAATCTCATAGGGCCTCTCAGTCTCTTCCCTAGGATCGGCCCTAAAGGCATAGAAAATCCTTCCGTGTCAGATAACGACGAAGAAGTACCAGTGGAGTTGATGCTCCAACTTCCAGAAGGAGCCTGAGGCGTACGTCTCTGCTTCTTCAAGTGGACCATATCCGAGTGATTTGAGCTGCTTCTTGATACCGGACCCGATCTTCCGCTGGAAAAAGATGAAGGAGCAGATCCGGTTGGCGAACTTGACATGTATCCTGAATTCGTGGTAGTATGCCTTGCACCCCACACGCGGCCCATCTTCTCGACCGCACGTCTGGCGAGTCCTGCCGCTGGAGCAAATCCATTTGACATACTGATAGCTGTCTGCCGGAAAGTTGGCGGAGCTTGTCCAGTATGTGCCAATGATGGTCTGCGAGGGGCAGGAGGAAGATCAGGTAGGTTGCGTTCCTGACGAGCAGGTGACGCCAAATTACGAGCACCTGGGGAAGCAGCCAGATTGCTTCGAGTCTGGAGCCCAGAGTGGCCTGAAGATGATACAGAACTTGCCGGAGCGATAGGGCCAGTACCTGCCTCTCTCATCAATGCAGGTAACTCCTTCATCGCAGGAGGTGCCACAGGCACGCTGTCTGACATGGTTCTATGCACTGGGATCGTGTCGAGACTGGCTGACGCATTGGTCACAGTGACCTCTGGCGGGGAAACCTTCACTGTTAATGGACCTCCAAGGTTGAGAGACTTTGACCGGCGATTCCGGACCTTGATGGAAGACGATGGCGAAGTGTGCTGACTCGAGGGCATTGTTCTTGATGGCGGGTACTCCTTTGAGTATGACCGTTCTGTATCGTCCTCCTCTGGCATAGTGTTCTCCGCTTCAGTAAGGAACGCACTTAGCCTTTTATGGCCTGGGACAATAGTGTGCGTAGAATGCAGCGAGTCAGCCATAGAAACAGGACGTGACGTCCGAGAGCCCAATATGAATCCAGGACGTATTGTGTGGTGACTCATGGTAGAATCACTCTTCCTCCGGGCCTCCTTTGAATCAGGTTTTTCACCGTCCTTCCTGCTGTTCTCCTTGTCCACAGTGGCACCCGTCTCGTCATGCTCATCGACTCTACGCATGTAATCGATCGCAGCCACGATACTCGGACTCGACGTCATAAGAGATGTCCTTTTATCCACGCTAGTATTTATGGACTGTGGTAAGAGACGTGGCACAGCCGACTTTGGTGGCGGGGGCGGGGGCATGTTCGAGGACGGCGAGATAGGAGAGGACGTATGCCTTTTGCTGAAAACATGTGATGCCAGCTGGAGTGTCAACTGCTTGGGGCCCAATTGGTGGCGAGGAGTGGCATGAGGGGGAGCCGAAGACGAAAGCGCAATGGATTGAGGAGTGTTATCCCTACTGAATTTACGAGCAGTTACTGGTGAAGACTCGATATTATCCGTCTTTTTCCGGCGACCGGCAAAAGCGCGCTTGAAACGGGAGCCAGTTGAACCTGAACCTGACCAAACCGTGGGTGACGAAGCTGGAGAGGGTGGGATGTTTTCAGGGCGGCTGTAAACCTGACCCATTGGAGTTGGAGGGGGGGGAGGAGAGCGAGGTAAAGCGCTGGATCCAGAACAGGCTGGGGAGGTCTTAGTTGTGGTGGAGGGCGATGAAGCGGAGTGATCGGAGGTTATGATATCGGACTGGCTGGAGTTGGAAGCGGGCGCTGCAGGTAACAGCATGGATGAAGCTGCGGATGAGGAAAACGAGGAAGAGAGCGAGGCAGAAGACATAGAGGAGGTCAACTTGTGATTTGCCTGTGTGTCCTGATGAGATTGCAGAGGCATGATACGAACGAAACAGAAATGGAAAGTTACGATATGGACTTGGGGAATCGCTTCAGAATAGATAATTATGGGTCTAAGGGAGTAAATCAGACGCAAGCGTCAGCATCAGAAAAGACAGCCCAGCCAAGCACGTAAGAAAAGCAACGCGGCGACAGCGAGGCAGCGCAAAAAATAGGGATATGTGCACGAATGACAGACAATACTCACCATAGAAAATCCAGCATCAAAAAAAGAGAGAGAATTCAAGATGTATCGTATAGATAAGTTGCAGATTAAAATGGGGAGCACTGGCATGAGCTGGTTGCCCAACAACATCCACTGAGCCACGGTCTCAGGCTGTGGGAATGCAGAATGGATCTTTGATATGCGCTATATTGGACTCCGAACCTATCTGTTGGGAACAATTCCCCCATTTATGCTCCATGCTCTTCCACGTTTGCACATTTACAGCCTTGGATGCAGTATTCAGTGCAAACTAATGTTCATCTTGATATCACATTGGATAGCCTGCAAGTTATCCACAGCGGCCAATTGGTCGAGGATCATTAAATACTTCTCATCTATATGCATTCGGACCCGTATTGTCCTACGCTAGTTCTATACCTCGGCTTGTAATGTAGATTCAAAAAACTAAATCCTGTCCGGCGGTCTACTCCTCTACTCTATCCCAAAAGGTAAGAGACTATCACTGCGAGAAATAAAGGAACGTGCGACGTATGGCACACCGCATCTCGCTATCAAGGCGTTATTAGCAATTCCTTCACCAGTTCATACGTAAAGAAAGAAGTTGCAATACTCGGAGCAACTTTTACTAGATGGGAACCGTCAGTCTATAAGAGAGGCACTTGGAATATAAAATCGCTTACGCAAGTTAGGCCACAAGCCCCTGTACAAGCCCTGCAACCCTTCCGTGCGAACAATGCTTTGCAGTGCATCAAGCGCTCCGTTATATTTATACCCAAGCCCTCCAGATGCCATGCCTGTCACCTGCATCTTACGCCTCAATACGTCAAATGGATATGTCAGCGTCTGTGATACTGATCCTGTATCCATCGAGACCGATGGACAAAACGATTAAATCAGCGCTCTAGGCCATTAGCAGTGATGATCTTACCAGCTAAGGCTCCGCAGGCAAGCTTTCTCGCGATACTGCTCTTTCCTGGTGGAGTAATCACCCCTCGCAGTGCTTCATAAGCCGCAAAATTGATTCCAACGTAAGGCGCGACTCCCATCGCGGTGGGAACCAAGCCACGATACAATCCTCGTATCCCGCCCTCCTCTCGCATCACTTTCAGTGTCATGCCCCACATGGAAGACTCTGCTCGTGATATTCCAGCGCTATGCGACACAGAGGACGAGGTGTGGTAGGCGGATGACAAAGCTTGTTTCACGGAGGGAGCGGCCGGCGTAGTCGCGGTCTTTGATGGTGGATTTTTCTGTTGTGATGAGATGGCTATTGAAGCTGTTGCGATCGACAGTCGCGAACGCACGAGGTCCAACGGGTATGTCGAACACACCGAAGTGATTCCTGCCAAGGCCCCGCTCGCCAGGCGCTTCGGGGTATCAAGTTCTTTGGACCCAAAAGTCGCGAACCACTGAAGCGAGGATTAGAATCAACAATCCACGGAAGGGATGGTAGCGGGTTCGGTTTACCTTTTTTAGTTGCTCGTACGTCGTGAATTGTACGGCGCTATATGGTACGATTCGCAGACAGTTGATTCCGTTTCCTCTCATGTATCCTTTGAACCCTTCTTCTCTCCACATTCGCACTAGACTTCGCCATACACCTTTATATTGTCGGTCCGACCCTCTCGGCTGGACTTGTCTGTGGTGCAGAGCATCAGGCTGAACTCGATGATAATGCAGCGATAACGGAAGAAGGCTCACTGTATAATTTTAAGCCTCTCTAAGGGGCTGACCACCGTACGCGACGCTGCTCCAGCGACACCACCTGCAATAAAATATGATGCAATTTCCGGCGTAACGAATGTGGGCTTTGGTTTTGTAAGAGCCTCCTGCGGCTTTACTTGAACTTGCGACGTAGATTGTTGGGATGTCATGGTGTTGAGCTGCAGATAATGGGCATGAAGATATGTATAATAATGGCGGTCAAAGTCAAAGAGTGAAGCAAAGCAAAATACGACGTGGAGCTGCTTCAGCACGGCTGGCAGTGCAAGGAACGGGACAGTGAATATGATTGAAAACTTATTCGGACCAGTGCAATAGGGCGTCACGTGCTCTTGCCGAATAGCAAATATGCAGCTTTCGCCTCCGGATAACATCGCCCTCCGGGCGGCCTTCCTGTTTTGCCCAACATACACTGGGTTGTATACTGTCGTTTATGGGGGTTTCGGGTTTGATGGGGAGTTCAGATGGCATCATATTATCCGTGCTGCACTTACCATAGTCCTTAGATATTTTATCTGGTGGTTTCTATGGCCCAAAAAACCACCTTCAATGTGTTTGCAGCCTCACATTTGAGTATTTGGTGGTTTAAATGTTTTTTGTGGCTTTGAGATTGTAACACTCAAATGATAGAGCTGTCTACACTAAAAATTCAGATTCTCACCCTGTCTTGCTATGCCCAGCCATTGAGCAATTCATCAGACTGGGATGACAGTCAACTCTCACTCCTGGTTGGGCGGTCTTTGAACGTGGCATATGTGAGACAACGTTAAACTATAACAAAAACAATACCCGTCTCCGTCTGCACTTGCAGGGAGTAAAAGGCACGATGAGTTTTGAGGTCAACAGGTGCTAGAGATTATAGCAGGTAGAGGACTGATGGTAAACTCAAAGGTTTCTGATGAGGGTGAAGCGGGTTATTCAAGTAATAGAAAGCTAAAGAATGATACATGAGTATGTAAGGTTTTTATAGCTAATCGTCTATTTGTCAGGCCGGAAGTGGAATGAAAGAAAAGTGGTCTGAGGATGAAACTATCCAATAAGAAAAAGAATAACTATCGTACGATTTCAGGGATTAATCAACAGGTGAGAGAATGTACTAATGATAAGTATTGTCACGCATGTTCAGGAACTGTATCCTCATGATGAGGTACAATCCTGACTCAAGCGTCTATTAATATCTCCAGGCACTGATGGGGCTTGGAGCTGGTTGGCGAGATGTCTACCACCAGTCCTTACCCATTGTGCTGGCTGGCTGGGAGTACTACCCAGTCTCTGATATGTGATATGAAGTGGTAACAATGGTTAAGAAAGCCTGTGAGGGCTATGAGAAGCAAGATAGCAAAGGATACCTCTAGCCCTAGAGCCAGAGGTGTGATGGGAAAGTGTCTGAGAGCCAAGACATGGAACAAAAAGATAAGAAAATAAGAAAATATAAATGGTCCTTACAGCATACACCATAATGTGGGTACACCATTACTTTTGTGATATCCAAACCCCTCATCAAATTCAAATCCTCCATAAATGATACTATTCCTGGATAGCTGTTGGAAAGGAACGTACATGTAAAGGAAAGAAGATCATAGGTATAAACAAAGGGAACCAGTCTGTCTCATGCTGTTTAACACTCCTAAGCATCAGAAACTCCTCTAAGTCCATCCAAGTTACCATATATGGAAAGTAAAAAGTAACCCATCAATACACCATGTGATGTCCATAAATGATCCATATGCTCTATTTCTGGGTTACCCAGTGTTATTCTAATGGATCTGAGTTTTGACTAGTGATCCAGACAGTGTATCTGAAAGCAGATCAAAATACTTTGGATAGTCCAGATACTCTAGAAAACAAGTAGATAGTCCAGAAAGTGCACTGGAGTTAGTGAACATGTCTGGATATGATGGTAAATTGGACTCAGTGAGTGTAATGTCTCTACACTGGTTCTAATGCCTTGTGGTGTCTTATAAGACTCCAATGCCAATGTGGCATGGCAAAGCATTGTGGGAAAGCCATGAGCTTATAATAAAACTATAGGTCTCATCACAATGAATTGTAATAACATTGTAACAGAGTCCCAATCTGAGTTGTGGCTCAATATAATACATTGCTATGAAGTTACAATGGTGTATTGGCTTGACTGGCATACCATTGTAACAGAGTTCTAATGAATAACCTGTAGATTGCAATAGCTATATAATATCTTCTAATGGCCAGTGGTTGGTTCAAGTGGCTGGAGTTTTCATTGTATCAAAACAAAAAATATATATTTTCACAAAAACACTGAAAAATGACATGCAAACCATAAGTCTGAATTTACTTGTCGGTTATGACTTCTTTCACTTTACTGCCTGTTTGCCATGCTTTCACTAGGGGTGCAGCAGCTGGGGTTCCAGCATTAGCACAGACTTTCCCTTTCTTCTTTGATACAGCTAGTGGCTCAATGTCAGGCTTGGGTGGAATTTCAGGTTGATGGAGATCAATTGTGAGGAATCAATTTTTCTCATTGCATTCCCATCATGTTGTGGCTATCCAACTCATTCCCTGTCACTCCTCTCACCCTTGGACTAGAGATTACGGCTGGTATCTTACTACTCTTATCTTTTTTCTTCTTATTTTCCATTCACACTCATGTTCTATTGTACTTACAACAAAGGAGAACCATTGTAGGCCCTCAAGAAGATATCCAGATGACATAGCAATGATCTAATGCTATGTCTGGGAATACTTTGGAGGGATATTGATCAGCGATATAGGCTGTGACTTAGCACCTCATCATGGGCTTACTGATACAGCCAATTGTACATCTCTTACCAAGACTTTCTCTCACACAATTAGTAAATATGATAGATCGGACCACTTTCCCTTTCTGAGTACATACTTGATGTATTATTCCTTAGTTTAATATTAGTTTGGATTTGCGCCTATATCAATACTCTTCAGCTCTCATACCCTGATCTACCGCCTTTTCTCAAGGACTTAGCCAGGCATTAGTTGTTGTTATATAGCTTTGTATTTGTTGCCTGACAGTTCCGTGGAATTTGGGAGGATTGTTTTGTTATTTTGTTTGTGTGTGGTTTTCTAGCAAACAGTCTTCATCATTGACACCACAGATCAGATTGCAGGTCTGCATGTCAGTCTGCAAAGTCCACACTTTTGAGTCTAAGCTGAGTAGGTATGTCACAGCAAGTTGTGGTCTTGCTGGAAAAGTGATAAAACAAGTGTGTGAGCAATGATATGCATGGAGGATGAATATCAAGCTGAGAGTACAACAATGGAATGACTCCTGAGAGTCCACTTTTTGGGTCTATACAAGTGGAATGTCACAACAAGCTCTGCACTTGTTGTAAATATGGCTATATGGCTGAAGAATGTCTACAATGCTTCTGAGGCAACTATGGCAACTTATTCAGACAAATTCTGAGTATATGGGGGATCAAAAGATGGTATTTTTTTTCTTTTGGAAGTATAGTTTTATAATAGTACCAAAAAGAAAATAGCAAAAACAATATAAAACATATGGGAACCAATGGAAGAAACAAAGGATAAACAATAGGAACTGTCCATATGAAAATGTAAGAAAAGCCATTTCTTGCTAGTCCAATGTCCAGACAGTCCCATACCATGAGGTACAACTCCTATAATCCAAAAAAAGCAAGGATAGTTGATCCATGGACAGTCATAATGCTCTGGAGTCCATGTGGAGGCATGCACATGCATGGAGTGCTGAGTTAGCTCCTTTGTCCAACAGGTCTGAAGTCCAAAATGTGTGGACCATATGTGTCTGCAGACATGTACTCTATGTGTCCACAAATATAGACTCTGTGAACTGTATAAAAGTGGATGGAAGTGCTGTGCACCAAGACAACTTGTGAATGGTTTGACTGAAAAGTGTGGATTGAGGGGGTCCAACTTGCTGATTGGTTTTCCCACAGGTGCAGGCTGCGTGAAAGCACAGATTAACAGGTTCAAACTGCTGCCTATGTGCATTGTCCCTGTGCAAGATTGACTGCTGTGCTTGATGCAAACTTAACAAGTCTAAAGTGCAGATTATGCAATTTAAAACAAGTCAAAATGTGGATTGTGCGGTGTCATGCACCAAAGTTGATTGGTAGCATGGACAGGTGTCAATAACAAAGTGAATATTCAAAAAGACTCGCCTTTGCGCCACACAGGCACAGTGCCACGTGGAATAGTAATTAATATTGCCCTTTTTGAACTTGTGGCTGATCAGCACCACCTCTATTAGGCAATCCAGTCACGCTCACCTTTGCTTTTCCATCCGGTACTTTCGGCATTTCGGCATTTCGGCAAATTTTCGCGTCGCCACTGGCTACACATTGCATTGCGCCCTCGCTTTTGTCGTTTCCCTTACTCCCCTTCCTTTGCCTAGCCCCACCATGGGCCCCTTCCTCTCCTTTTTATTCTCACCTGACGGTCGTTTCTGGATCCCCATTCTAATCCACTTTTCCGTCACCTCCACCCTCCTCCTCCTCATCTTATTTGCACCCCCACCATTTCTGATGTCACCACTTCCTATCCGCTTCCGTCGCCGATCCGTTGACTACCACGTGCCACTGCTGATATCAGCAAAGCCCCGGCGGCCGGTCCAAATAGGGCAACAGGTCCATCTTCATGACGTCGATCTGCCATCATATACTATCAAAACATCGGTTGCTCGTCTTGCCTGGTTGGAGCGTGGGTGGGTAGTTTTTGAGCTGGAGAAGGTTCATCCCCTTGCGTCGCCCATGTTCATCGCTGTCCCATTCACTTGGGTACACTTATCTTTTGTCCATCGTCTTCGCTACAGCTACACCTACCACACGCTGCCTGGGACTCACTTGTTCCAAATTGGAACTACTCCTCTCCCTCCCTCGTTTGATCAGGTGGTCCAACACAACCAGTCCATTGGTAAGGCCATGGAACTGTCGGATTTGGACTAGGTGGTGGACCGGTGGCTCCAGTTTCTTTTTCTTCAGCAGAACATTCATTTACAGTGCGATTATTTTTGATTTTTGAATCATTTTTATGGACACATATTTTTTTAGAATGCCTGACTGACAATAAAGGAACTGTGTTGATACTGATAGTGTTTTGCCTTGCCCTTTTTTTACTGCATCTTCCCATGACATCATGATTTCCCTGCTCTCTTTTTGCTATTGGACTTTACTTTATGGCTGTACAAACCTGTGACATTACTCACAGCATTCATTGTTCTATCTCTTTCTTTTCCTTTTTTGACAATCTTATCCTGTACTACCTACGCAGGATTCGTCAGCATACATTCCTTCCTTCATGTTCTTTCTCATTCTTTTTGCACAGCTATACTGTGCATAGCCTACTTTTCTTTCACTATATAAACCCCTGTATTTTACCTTGTAAAAAAACAAGAACTCCAATCCAGACTTCTTCTCTAATCTCAAGTTCACTACTCTCTGCTACTTGTGATCCAGTGTGGTCACAACACTTCCCACTGCTACCACTGTTAATTGCTGTCATTGTCACTTCCCACTTTTGAAGTCATTGTTATCCCTTTCGATTAGAGTCCTTCTGAGCACTACAGTTTGTGCGTCAGGAGCCTGCTATCACTGGGAACCTCGTCACCTCGTCATCCTCGTTGTTCTCAAACCTACCTTGTGCTACAATTAGCAAGGTAGTGCTCATCTATACTCGTCACTAAGCACCTATCTTCTATAAATTCAACTATCCCTCCTCCTCAAAACCCACACCCATACATCTCTGGGTTTTACTTTGAAGGATCCTTATACATACCACCCCACGAACAACCAGAGCACCCACTGTTCTAGGAGGCAAAGCCCATAAACAAGTTCCGTGGAATCTGGGAGGATTGTGTGTTAGTTTGTTTTTGTGTGTGGTTTTCTAACAACAGTTCTCATCATCGACAGCGGAATGTATAAATTTGCAGTGTGGGTGGAGCAGGCTGTACAATGGATTAAGCGTAGAATACATGGGCTGAATGACATATGATGAAGGAGTGGGTTGGATAGGAATGATATTGGAAGTTGGAAAGTGATGGTAATGCGGACCCAGCCACAATGATAACTCTACACCACCATTATCATGTGATCAGCTGTGGGGCTCTGTCTAATTCAGTCTCCATTGGAATGACAAGGCTTTAGCTGGAAAGAAAGATGAAGAAAAATAGGAAAAAAAAAGAAAAAAAAGGTTCCCATACAAGCTGTAAGGTCACACACATACAGTACACCAGTATATAATATGCAGTGTTGTGCTATATCAAAATCTCCATAACTTCACTCTTTCAATTTTAAAAAGATTGTCAAGTCTCCACCCCTAGTGGCTGTGACAAAAGAACATATTTATATGAGATAAACCCAAATATGCCGGAAACTAGAACAGTAAAATATCTAGAGTGACATCAGTACCATGTTAGCAAAGCCAGGATAGATGTCTCGTCCAAGCTGTTCGAGGAGTACATTGGGTCAAATATACAAATTCTAGTTTTGCATACAACAAGGATAACAATACTAACATAAAGAGTTCAATGGATCCATACAGTTAAAAATTAGAGGCTAGGAAATAATTTTCAAGTCTGCTCCATCGAGTTGAAAGTATGACCTCAGCTTGTAGCTTCATGATAGTCCGGTGGAGGCATTTCACTATCCACCAAACTATTATTCGTCCTATCGTCCCGCAAGGCCTGGCTATGTTGCGATACTGGCAGTTGTCCAACAACTACTGATGATGAAGATGGATTATCCTTGTCCTCGGATCCAGGGATAGGTGCTGTTGGGAGACGACGAGTATCTAAAAGCTAGATTTATCATAAAAGTTGAGGTCATCCCTCATCATTCTCAGAAGGCTGTAAATTCTCACCGCGCCGTTTGATGATAACCGTTGGGGACTAGCCGAACTGGCGATAATCGAGACGTCACTAAATGGGACGCGAGATTCCTGAATAACATCGGAATCTGATATAGCACGATTATGAATTGCCGACGTTGCCTGCGGTGGTGGCCGTTGTGGCTGAGAAGCCTGTGCAAGCTGATGTCCATGATCTACACGTTGATAGGACCTGCGTGTACTCAAACCCGTGGTTGACATAGGATCAGCCCTGATGAGGCTGGTTTCGCTCGTGACAAGAGGTGTAGGCTGCACTGAGACCATGGACGCTGGATCTGCGTAATGTTGAAGGCTGCTGTCTACCTTGTAAATATCATGTTGCTGTATAAATATTTGCGCGGCTCTCCATAGACGGTAGAACGTAACAGCAGCAATGAGAGCAGCAACAGCGACGACGGCAGGTATCACGATTCCAACGATGGGTCCAACACCAATTTTACTATAGGTCCCAAGAAAATTCAAATGGACGTTAACGATACTCTGATTTAGCATACCTTGAGGTGCTGGCAGCGTCTATAGTGCTGTACGTTTCATAAGTTTCCACGGTACGATGTCACATGTGATATCATTTACCTTGGCTGGGGGTTTGGCTGTGAGCTTGGCTGTGAGCTTGGCTGTGAGCTTGGCTGAGAACTTGGCTGAGAGCTTGACTGTGGGTTTGGCTGAGGGTTTAAGTTACTGGGCGCAATCAGATTATCAAAACCCACGAGTTAAAAATAAATAGCTTCAAACACGTACCTAGACAACGTCAAGACCTTAGCATAGTCAATATTCAAATATTGACCGTTCTGCACAGGGAGATTCGTAACTGTGAGTTGATGACTCCCTGATCCAAGATTATCAGCATGGTATAGCATGGTCTGCGGATAGTACATGAATGCAGTGGCGTTGAATGTCTCAACTTCTCCTCCGTCCAGTTGCACAGAATATGGTCCGTTTTGCGGTCCGACAGTGCCGTATAGAGATATCACATCACCTACGCCGTGAGATCTGTTCAGTCAGGATAACAACTCTCAAGCAATGGTATCTCACCCTACGAAATAAAATCAGATCAGTTACTCGCTGGGAAAAATGGCCACTGCTCACGGTGAAAGTGTAGGTAACACTGGCATTATAAGTACTAGTGGAGCTGGAAACCATGTCAACTGGGAAAGAATACAAATTTTCTGAAAATAGCTCACTGGCCGGTGCCATTGTTGAAAAAATTGACGCTAGGTGGATTTGTATTCCACGCAGGAGCCTGAAACTGGAAACTAGGGTCTGTATCTTGTACCGTTTGAGTTACCAACTGATCGTTCGCCCCTCCAACCTCCGATTGCCACACAATCTGTAAAAGAAGTAAAATGAATTTTCTGGATCAGTTACCAGAGAAGACTGGTGAACGAACCAAATCAATGTCTACGTATAAACCCCCCGTCCCCGTGTTTGTTAATGCAATAGTGTGCATTCCCTGGGTAAGTTCAGTCTTGTTAAAGAGTACTTGTTGAAAAATATTGACGGTAGAGTTTCCATCAATGTTGGGATAGCTTGCGCCATCTACAGTGACGGTATAGGTGCCATGGTTATTTCGTTTGGCACCATATATCCAGAATGCAGTTCCGTTAAAAGACCACGTTGCAGCGCCATTGGTGACATTGTTAATGGTGAATGTACCGAGATAATACCTGCAATAAAAAATACGCCAATTTTAGTGAAAATTGCTGCTTAACCAGACGATAGAAGCATACTCGTCAGCCAGCGGGTCCACAGAACTGCCCATTACCCACGTATTGTCATATTTTATGAGGGGAACCTTGTCATCAATGAGAGTGGTGACAGAAGGCATAGATGAAGGATAAGTCTAAGGGGACAAAAGACAAAACATACATTAGATTATGTTACCTGGCTTTATTAGTTGGCACACTAGTCGAAAGATGAGAAAATAATGTCACTGGCCATGTTAGGAGTGAACTATTTTCTCGAAAGAAGAAGAAAACACAGAAACACAGAAGGTTCGTGTATCGCTTGTGGATAAAGGAAAAGAAATTTTTTCAAAAAATACAAACCTTGGAAGCGTGTGGAGGCTAAGACTTCGTGGTTGGTTTGGAAAAAAGAAAACAAAGGACAGTGGTGCTGTTGAGAACGGGAAGTATGTCAATAGAAACGATGGCCAGCGAATTTTACAGCGACATATGAGATGGTAGGAGGGGAAGGGGAGGATAGCGAGAACCTCCAGTCAGCTCTGTATAATAGATAACTCGCTATTGGCATTGAGCATAGCTTGTAAATCTGTCAACGACACGTGCGACTTACAATGCCTCCACTCACGGCGCAACGATCAAGCTTTCCGTGCTTGTTAAGTCACCATCCTTAGCGCCAGATAAACCAAATCAAGGGACAGTAGCGTGTATGATGTTCATCAGTTGGGTCTGTATAGGTATTGATATTGATATTGTGCCATTGTTGGAAAAGTGGAGCACCGACTTGTGAGGCCTGCGAACGGAGACCTGCGCTGATTGCAGAGTTAGAACTGAGTAGTGGGAAATCATGGTGACGATGTGGTAAGAGATCTAACGGAAAGAAAGAGCTGACCGAAATTAATTTCCACGATAACATAGCGCCACCGACGTGTGCAAAAACGGCGATGCTAGATTCCAATTATCCTGCCTGGAGCGACGATAGTGGTCCCGCTGCCTTCGTTCTGAATACAAACACCATCGGGATGAACTATATTAATGAATTCAGCACGAACCGCCACTCCCAGTCTCTGAAAAGCACTCCAGGTCGACACTCAGATCTTTGTTTCGACGATGGAAACCTCGTGCTCCTGACCGGACCATCCTATTTCCTCGTGCACCAAGGCCTTCTCGCTCGACGTTCAGAAGTCATGGAAAAACTAATTCATTCCATCGATAGCGATACAGCAGATCGCCTTGAAGGCCGACTTGTCCTGGCGCTTTCAGACTCGTCCGAAGACATGGCTTACTTCATACAAGCCTTGTACGATGGAATGTGAGTGCTCATATATTGTTACAGCACTGAGAACTATATATTATATGAAGCTCTTTCTTATCTTATGACGCGGATGGCTTTGCTGTGGTCTCTGGCCTACTTCGCCTCCTGACCAAGTACAAGGTACATCATCTTAGACACGACATTCTACGCTGTCTTTCTGCTTACTGGCCCACGACCCTATCTCAATGGGAAACACGAGAGAACAAAGCAACAGACATGGAAGGCACTTATGCACCTCGGCGTGCTCTCCCTCACCCAATGTGCGTCATAAGTTATCTACGTTATTGACAAATGCCTCAAATCTACATATACATCTTCAGTGAAATCATACTACTAGCCCGCGAAATTGATGCACCTGCCCTCCTTCCTTCGGCCATGTACGACCTGTCACGCTATACACCAAGTCAAGCCGCTTTGGGGTGCACATCCTCACAAACCGGCGCTATACTAAGGTTAGGCGATGACGACCTGCTCAACATGCTAAGAGGACGCGAACATGCTTCCCGGTTCTTTTCCACCTTTATCGTCAACGAGCTCGAGGGAAGAGAGCCGTCGCTATGGTGTCTACATCGTAAGGAAGAGAAGCCAATCGACAGACGGGCGTGCCAGATCGCATTCGAGACAATCACGTTTGAACTGCTCCGGGACGTCAATGGTGTCGTGAACAATCGTACTTCGGATCCTCTGTATGCCATTTCTGACGCTGAGCTCCTACAAACCAAAGAAGACATGCCTGGTGGCGACAATGTTCCGACAATGCGGACATGCGAACCATGCAGGTCCGAGTTCGGTACAGTGGTGGACACAGCAAAGGAAGAATTCTGGCGGAAATTACCTGTCTGGTTCTGTGTCGACGTTCCTACGTGGGGGTAAACATGCTCAAGGAACGCATTTTTCATTTCATCTTGTATTCTCTCGTCCTGTCCAAACATTGTTCTTGTATTAGTATTTTTGTACCATCTTCGGGTTCTGTGATATGATTCTTAGAAAACAAGCGCTTACCATCCGCCGTGGGAATAAAGTTTTACCCTAAGTTGAACCTTGTAACCTTGCAAAGCTCCAAAGTCAGCTTGGCCTACGAAAAGCTCCTCCCTGCATTTCCTGTCTCATATTGTTACTTTTACTTGTTCTTTCGTTGTCTTAAGCTATGGTTGAAGCTACTCGTGTCGTTCCAGGTGCTCCTCCGCCCGCACCCTTGTCCAAATCCCAACGAAAAAAACGCAAGGCTGCAACTGGCAACTCCAAGGCAAAATCGGCTGAATCTGTCGACGGTTCGGTCACCATTCCTGATTCTACAGCTGCTGCTCTTGTCGAAAAAGCACCAGAAGAAACTGACATCAAAGAGGGATCGATTGCTCCTGAGCTTGTCGCTTCTACCGAAGAAGTGCAAGCACTTGATGATGAATCCAGTCTCAAGCCCAGCCCTATTATAGAACTACTTCAAAAACGCTGCAAAGCTCTCAACAAAAAAATTGTACGTGTCTCCTAAGCCCTCTACAGGTCTTTTTCTTATCACTTCTGCTGTCCGTGTCGTACACATGTCTAACGTTTCTCTGGTTCAGGGCCGGGTATCAAGTTACGCGTCAACAGAATACACAAGACTGAACGACGATCAGAAACGGACGTTGAAAACACTTCCTTCATTGGAGGCAGTCCAGAAGGAACTAGAAGAGGTTAAAAAGGCCATTGAAGTGAGCAAGCTCCTGGACGTCCAGAGCTATGGTTCATTGTCTGACACCTGCCAGGTTCACGAAGCTGATCTACAAAACGACATAGTGGCTCAGCGCGCTGAAGCAGAGAGGGCTGAGAAAGCCAGGATAGTGGCTGCTGTTTCGGCAACTGAGGTAAGATACCCTTGGATAGATTTAGATCAAACCACCTTTCGACGCTCGACTGCAGAATTCGTATACTTTGAAGACGTCAGGTCTTCTTACTTTACTTCGCTTGCACTCAATCCTGGCTTCTGGCCATCCTCCTCCTGCCTCGCTTAACCTCGACGAATCAGAGGGCTCAGCGATCTTTTCGACCACTGAAGCTCTTCTCGGTGAGGAGGGTGAGCTCAAGCAGTCCGTCGTATCTGGCATTCTGTCAGGAGTAGGCGACTTTAACGGTGTCTCATGTGAGTGATGATTTATATTTTATGGTTCTGCTAATCACAACTATTTTTATCATTGAAAAGATGCACGGCTTTTGGAAATTGTACATTCATATCTGAACCCTCCTCGGGAACCTACCCCTGTACCCGAAGAGCCAGCAGAAGAGCTGGGTGAGGCGGAAGCTACGGCAGAAACACCGGTGGAGGCTGAGGAGGTACGCGTCGCTGGGATTCCTGGCGCATTGAGCGTCTCGAGCAGCTTCCACTTCATGCAAGCCAGTGAGCTTGAAGCTCCCTCTTTCGAGGAATCTGCGGAATGGGTTGAACGGCCTGAGGTTGACCAACCACCGACTGAGATAGTATCCACGGAAACCTCGACCATCACTGCCGTGAATGGTCATATCGTAGAAGCTACCACAGAAGGAGATGTAGGTTATCTGTCATCTCCGCAAAATGACTGGTTATTGAATGACGTGTTGTTTCTAAAGGTGCACCCAGCCAGCAATGGCGCAATTGATTGGGCTGCAGATGACGAAGGAGGTCTACCATCCATTGCCGGCCTTCAAGCTAGCTTTGCTCCATCTGGCTCTGCCACCCCAATCCTACAGTCATCTGAAGTTACTTTACCTGTCGTGCCCGACGTTGTCGCTGTCCCTCGACCAGAGGATGACGGTTTCACACCGACAAGAACCGGTCGTGGAAGGCCTTACCGCGGTGGTGATCGTGGTGGTTTCCGCGGTGGTTTCCGAGGTGGTGACCGTGGCGGCGATCGTGGTGGCTACCGTAATGACAGAGGCTTCCGTGGTAGCGGGCGAGGCGGTGATAGAGGTGACAGAGGTGGTATGTCATTTTCGTAAATTCTTCACAAGCGTACACGTTTTAATTGCACTGACGTTATTTAGGTTACCGAGGTAGACCGAATGGCGATTGGCGTGGTGGCGACTCTGAAGGACGTGGTCGAGGGAGAGGTCGTCCAAGAGGTGATCGTGGAGGTGGGTAGACTTGATTGTCTCCAGTGCAATGATCTGATCGCCGCTTGACAGGCTTCCATGAGAGACGGGGCGCACCGCCTTCATGAATGTTAATCTAAGGTCAAAATTCGCGCGAGAGTCGCATTGGACTCCAGAGTTGCGATTTGGTAGGCTGCAGTGATTCGCCTGTGACTCTTTTCCATTCCCTTGTCGATCTAGTTTCTTGATGTACGGCGACTCGCATGTCAAATGACGAGCTTATGTTTTTGAACATTCTTTGTGCCTGAGTACCTCACAAAGTCACAATGTAATTTTTTAAGCCTCGGCAGCTTCCACGGCAGCAACCATAAATCGCATAGCATAGCAACAGGTTCCGCGAAATTCACACTAGAATGTATTGAAATGTCACTAGCACACAGAAGTTTAGAAGCTTTGCCCTGGCTGTCAGTACATGTCATTGGCCGGAAACAAATATTTGACAATGACCGATTTTATCTATAGTATAAGGACCGCACCCCAGGACATAATGTAATCGATGTTTTGTCTTTTGCTCTTTTAGACTCTTCCTTCACCTATGCCTTCTGTCACCACTCTCATTGATGACAAGGTTCCCCTCATAAAGTACGACGACACATGGGAACCGGGCACATCTACGGACGACCCGCTGGCTGACGGGTATGCTTTTATTGTCTGGTTAAGCAGCAGTTTTCAATGATATTGGCGTATTTTGTATTGCAGGTATTATCTCGGTACATTCACCACTAACAATGTCACCAATGGCGCTGCAACGTGGTCTTTTAACGGAACTGCATTCTGGATATATGGTTCCAAACGATCCAACCATGGCACCTATACCGTCACTGTAGATGGCGCAACCTACCCCCACAACGATGGAAACTCTGCCGTCAATCTTTTTCAACAAACACTCTTTAACATCAGTGGACTTACCCAGGGAATGCATAGTCTTACAATAACAAACACCGGGACAGGGTCTCAATACGTAGACATTGATTTGGTTCGTCCATCAATCTTCTTTGGTAACTGATCCAGAAAATTCATTCTACTTCTTTTACAGATTGTGTGGCAATCGGAGGTTGGAGGGGCGGACGATCAGTTGGTAACTCAAACGGTACAAGATACAGACCCCAGTTTCCAGTATCAGGCTCCTGCGTGGAATACAAATCCACCTAGCGTCAATTTTTTCAACAATGGCACCGGCCAGTGAGCTATCTCCAGATATTTTGTCTTCTTTCCCAGTTGACATGGTTTCCAGCTCCACTAGTACTTATAATGCCAGTGTCACCTACACTTTCACCGTGAGCAGTGGCCATCTTTCCCAGCGAGTAACTGATCTAATTTTATTTCGTAGGGTGAGATGTCATCGCTTGAGAGTCGTTATCTGGACTGAACAAATCTCACGACGTAGGTGATGCGATATCTCTATACGGCACTGTCGGACCGCAAAACGGACCATATTCTGTGCAACTGGACGGAGGAGGAGCCGAGACATTCAACGCCACTGCATTCATGTACTATCCGCAGACCATGCTATACCATGCTGATAATCTTGGATCAGGGAGTCATCAACTATTGGTTACGAATCTCCCTGCGCAGAACGGTCAATATTTGAATATTGACTATGCGCAGGTCTACACATTGTCTAGGTACGTGTTTGAGGACACTTATTTTTGACTCGTGCATTCTAATGATCTGGTTGCGCCCAGTAACTCGAGCACTCAACCAAGGTAAATAATATGACATGTGACATCGTACCATCAAAGCTTATCGAACGCACAGCAATATAGACGCCGCCAGCGCCTCGAGGTATGCTAAATTAAAGTATTCTTAATGTCCATTTGAATTATCTTGGGACCTATAGTAAAATTGGTGCCGGGCCCATCGCTGGCATCGTAATATCTGTCATCGCTGCTGTTTCCGCTCTCATTGTTGCTGTTATATTCTACCGTCGGTGGAGAGCCGCGCAAATTTTTATACGGCATCATGATATTTACAGGATAGACAGCCCTCAACGACACGCAGGTCCAGCATCGTTGATTTCAGTGCGCCCTACACCTCTGGACACGAGCGAAGCCAGCCTCGCCAGGCTCGATCCTGCGCCAATCACAGGCTCGACTACATCCAGGTCCTATCAACATTCAGATTATGGATATCAACATGTACAGGCTTCTCAGCCGCAGCGGCCACCACCGCAGGGCACTTGGGCCATTCATAATCGGGCTACATCAGATTCCGATGGTACTCAGGATTCTCGCGCCCCACCTAGTGACATCTCAATTATTGGCAGTTCCCTTAGCCCTCAACGGTTATCGTCAAATGGCGAGGTGAGATTCGACAGCCTTCTCAGAATGATTAGTGATGACTTAAAATTTCATGACATATCTAGCTTTTGAACAGACGTCCCCTCCCAACAGCACCTATCCCCAGATCTCAGGAAAAGGATAGTCCATTTTCATCATCCATAAGTGTATGAAAACTGACAGTACTGCGACATGGCCAGGCTCCGCAAGACGGTAGGACGAATGATGGTTTGGCAGATGGCGAATTACCTCCACCTAACTATCGTCAAGCCACAAGTTAAGGTCATAGTTTCAACTTCTTGATGAAGCAGACTTGTAATTTCTTTTCCCGACTTTCTTTTATGGCTGTAGGTAGTACTGAACTTTTCATATTAGCATTTATTATACCTGTGTACACAACACGGGAAACTGTATATTTACGATTCAATTTGCACCTGGAATAGTTAGGACAAGACAGTATCTTATCTGACACGTTCCCTCGCAACTCTAAGAAGTTCAGCCCCTCTACGACTAGACATGAGCTACGGTATTCCGTGTTGATCACAGTACATTATTCACTAACTAATGGATACGAGGTTTTTGTTCAATGGTGCCAGTGGACGATGCCTGTCTCCGACACTGTTGGTATCCGTGGCAATTCCGAGTGCTTGTGCTCAAGTATGTGGTAGATTTATAGAAGACTATCGTTCTCACCGTTTCAAAGCCATCGGTCAAGGCAGCCTGATGGCCGCTGTGATCATTATCATCGTCACTGCCGTACTACTTCCTCAGTGATGGAATATCCAGGGGGTGATCCAAGGAACGACCTTGGGAATATCATGATGAAGAATAAGATCAGTCTATATTATCACGGGCAATGCATCAACACTCGGACCATCATTGAAGGGGTACTGCGCACATCCTACCAGGACTATATGCTGCGAGGGCTGAGAGACATGCTCGATTAGCTGGTAAACTCTTTCATGCTGCTTGGCTGCTACTAGTGAGTACGTGGGTGGTCTGAATTCCAGCTTCCATAGTTAGTCTGAACATTGAGAGTGGTGTGATAGCGCAACCAGACAAGACATATTCCAATGCGACATGCTTCACGAGGCCAAAACGCCAATCATATGATATACTGTGCCATTCAAGTTGGACAGAAACAATAACCTCGAGGTAACTTGCTGTTTCTGAAAGGGTATACGAACACGGCCTAAATCAGTCCTTGAAACAGTCTCAGTTCATAATTAATTGAATCGAGTATAACACATATCCATGATCTACAGTGATCATTCTTTGCACTATTCCTTCCTCCCACCTGCAACACCTCCAGTGAGAATATTAGGAAGCTCCACATCGCCAATACCGTAAAGTAATGAGATAGAGCCACCGATTATAACAATTAATGTTATAACGACGCCGCTTATCAGAACGAAGGGACTGCGAGAATTATTAAGTTAGATATCATGCTTGAACAAATGGGCCTATGAAATAACACCTACCCACTGACATCTTTCCGCTCGCAAGCCTCACCGGCCCAATATTGTGTTTTCCCTTGCGCACTGCTCGTGGCGCTACATGTGCAGACGAAGCACTCCTGGCCCCGCTTTGATGTACTCGAACATTGTCCGTGCCCAGAGCAAAAATCAGTCGCATTTGTACAAGCCTCTGCTGTGTTGAAGCAAGACGGTATACCACGCGGAGGAGGTTGGGGTACGCCAGATGGCGGAAGCGGAGACTGCCCTGGAGGCTGTTGACGTTTCTGAAGGGTGAAGGCGTCGGATGTTAATACGGCAACATTAGCTTTTCTTGCAATGCACGCATCAATGAAAGCCTTGATTGTCTGAGTGGCGACCTGGTATTGTTCGCTTGAACGACCGTACGTGACTGCGAGCTGCGCAAGACTTGACAGCTCCAAGGCTGCAAATTTCTCAGCGGAGTATCCGCCCTCGTGGAGCTCTGTATCCATGAAATCCGTGAGTACAGAAACCTCTGCGAGAAAAGCTTCGTTAGCCGGTGAAGGTGTCGAGAAAATGTCGAGAACGCGGGGAACGCCTTGAGACGGAACCGAAAGGTCGGAATAGATGTAAGAGAATACATGGCTTGCACGATGAAGATACGTGGAAACTAGGGAAGAAAGAGAAGAAAGAGATGGTGTGTTCAAAAGAGAGAATGAAGGCTCCATTGAAGATGGGAGGATGTCTAAACAAAATGAATAGTATGAAATCAGCTCTGACGGTCCCAAGAGAAAACACATGACGGTCCTACCGTTTGCATATGTCTCGTCTACGACTAAAAATACGGCATCTCTTTCACCTTCTCCCACAAAAGCTCGCTCATTGAACAGCCCGCCAAATTCCGCTGTGTTGTCCCCTAGTGATTCAAATTGCTCGAGGCCGAGATGGTGTGAAAGCACCAGACTTGCATGCTTTGGGGATAAACGCGAAGGCAAAGAGACAGAAGGACTAAGGTATACTTTGGCTGCTTGGGACAGTCCAGCCAGCAGCAGACATCCAAATACTCCTCGCATGGCTCTGAAGTGGTTATTGACGAGGAGGATATTTGGTTTTGTTGTCTCAAGTGGCGCGTTTCGGCTCGCTTACAATCAGTTTTTGGTTGCATGACGGAGTTGCCCATTGTGCTACAGTCGACAATGTCTTCGAGCTCACCACCTGTATCACAAGCCCCGCTCTCCAGACTTCTCTGAAGTGCAACCCACTTCAACGACACTGCGAAATCCAATCAGCCATCTGGCGCCACCAGCTTATCACCCCCTGAGCAAGCCCACAACAAGATCCAGTTATCCAGGTCAAAAGCCTCACCCGCACATCGTGTACGTGTACATCCATCTCAAGAAGAAGAGCCATGCTGCACTTTAGATGAGATTACAGTCAGGATACTGGAGCGCGTTTCTTATTCGTCACCACCCCCTCGGTGAGGCGGACATGAAGGTAATATGGTTGGTTGCGCAAGATGTGAAGGTTTCCTTACATACTAAAGGATTTCTTAAACGAGGACTCGAAACTTCGTCTGATAGCGCCTTCAAAAAAGCCACTTCACTCAGGTATGCGTATGCTAGCCGTGAAAGAATACGTCACGACATTCTAACTACACCTGCTACATCCTGGAAAATTGAGGAGAAAGAGAGAGCAGTCATTTTTCTAACTCAACTTCAGGAGGACAATGAGAAGTCACTATCCATCGTTGATACCGACTTGGAGTGCTGAAGGATAACCTCAACGTGCGTGAGCTGGACATGGAGAAAGTGGATATCGGTATTTATGAGTCCTTACAGGAGAGAAACGCGATTGATTTTGATGCCGTCTCAGGGGAAGTCAGATAGGTCGAGCTTTATGCACTTGCACGAGGTAAGACCACTCCGACGGATGGTGGTGGTGCCTCCCTGGACGATCTCCCACCTGTGCGTATGCCGTACGACTGTGAGTTGGGCCAGCGAAGTAGTGTGGATGAGCCTGGTTCAGCTGATGATGATTCAGATGACACCGCGAGGAAGCTCTCCCCGCAGTCCTTGAATGACCCTCGCGTTCCGCTGTTTTTCGCCATCCAAGTATTCTCATTTTTCCACAATTTATATCACACCAAAGTACATGCATAATTACACCTACAAGCAAGGTTGTAGATTGTCGAGTTGAAAGTAAATAAAAATATATTAGTAATGTTACTTCAATCCCTATTGAAGAAATGAACAAGAGAAAGGATGCTCTGCTGTTCGAGAGACTTTGGACATGAACGAGTAGTCCCAATTATCGGTGGGAAGTTTGGAGTCTATGCCGAGTCTGAGCCTCTGACAGAGAGCTGCAACAATCTGAGAAACTGTGGGACGGGTATGAGGATCGCTGACCCAGCAATGTCCAATGACTCTCCACATATCATCGTCTAAATGACGAGCATCGCATATAGCAGGTAACGGTCGAGCAGGCCGGACACCTTTGGTAACGGCTTGGATAACTTGATATTCCGATCTCATCTCGTGGAAGGGGATTTCACCGGAGTAGACCCGAACGAAATGGAAAGCCAGATGTGAAACAATTAAATGCTCAGCCATTGGATAAACCCACCTCATATCCTACACAGCCAAACGCATAGACATCGCTGGAGAAGCTATTTCGAACATCTTCAGTCTCAAAACTGAGTAATTCCGGAGCCTGCCATCTCAGTGTCCCGCCGCCCCGCATACTCGGTGCGGTCGTAAGTCCGAGAAGGTGTGTACCTCTCGCGCTAGCCACACCGAAGTCAGTTAGACAGGCATGCAGAGATGGGGTGATTAATATATTTTCCTGGAGCAATGGTTAAATGAATTCGGCTAGAGGGGTACTTCAAACTTACTCCTTTCAGATCACCATGCACAATGCCAGGTTGTCTGCGGTGCAGATACTCAAGTCCCCGGGCTATATCCAACATCTATGTCACGAAACAGTTATCGTGACTGGTCTCGTACCATGCTGAAGCTTCTTACCAGAGATGTTCGACTGCTGTTGGGATACTGCTTCAAGAATCGCGTTATGCTTCCATGTTCCATCCACGGAGAGATGAGACAAATACGATTTTTATTGGCATTCAGATGATACACCCCATAGAAAGGTATCAAGTTAGGATGAGACAACTGACGCCATATAGTGATCTCATTTGAACAGCGCTAGTTGTTCGCTGCCCGTTAACCTTGGATGTGGCACAAAGGAGAATGTCGGAATCACCTTCAAGAATTCGTCCAAATCAAATCGTTCATATACTTTCAGAATTTTCATCGCAATTACTTGACCTCGGAACGAGCCTTTCCAGACTTCACCAGACGAGCCTGCGGCAATAGGATCTTCACTAAGCTTCTTGATATCCTCCAGAACTAAACAGTCCGGGTAACATCCTGACTTAGTTGATAATTTGATGAGCGCAGCAGTAAAACGACGCCTTACGCCAGGACTAAGCTGTGCATAGTCCAACAACTTACAGTACTTCTTCAGCTAATTTTGTTCTAGGAAAGTATGTGAACCTAAACTCACCGCTTGTAAGAGATTAAGTAACGACCTCGCTTCGTCTGAGCGTCTTGAATAGTAACCATTCTGTTTGCTGTCTTCCAGTGCCCTAGCCATTGTAGTGCTGATGTCGGTGATGTCAATCGCATGCAAGAGAGTCCCATCCAAGACATCATCTACGCCACATGAATGAAGTAATGCTGCGGGCTAAATACCAGCTAAATATCGGTAGAGAATACGCAGACCACTGATCTACTCACCTCCCGAAGTAGGCCTTGAAGCTGGTTTTTCAGTTCCAGGTGCCTTGCTAAGATAGTTATACTGTTCCATGTTCTCCAAACTCGCATATTTTGTTTGAAAGAAGACATTTTACTACTAATAAATATACATCAGCTGCTGTTACAAGGTTTCGGGTTGCTTACCCAGGGTCTTCTGAGCAAAAATTCAAGTGCACAAATACAGAAACTGCAAGTGTCTGCAACACCAATGTCTGGTACCTCGATGGCGTTTTACAGGTAGAATGTATGCTCACCTTGTATATTCGAAGGCCATCCAAAAGACGTATACAGATTGATTTTTCTTGCACTTGCAACTTTGAGAAGCTACCGTGATAGAGTAGGTCATATTCCGTTGCCTTTTCCCATTGCCGCTCGTAGCGATTAATCAATGTGGGCTTGATTTGGCTCTCCAGAGTATCGAGTATGTCTAACCCATTCTACAAATAGAAAGGAACGACACGTTAGCTACACATTGACAAATGCTACGAAACCAAGTCAGCGGATTAATTCAATGCGATGATATTATCAAAACTCACGCTTCACGCTTCCCCTTCCCGAGATTTCAAACACACGAAAAAGGTGATCACATACAACGATAAGGTTACGTTGCTGCTCTGCCAACAGAGTGTAATAATCCTTGTGCGAAAGGATCCTTTCCAGGACAATGGTCGCTGCTTCCGAATATTCCACAAACGCTGATTCGAAGCATCCGTCATCAGTATATATCTGGCCTGTTTTTTTGTAGAAGCTCGGCGCTTCTTATGCACTCCTTGAGCAGTTTGGATGGGTCCCAGTGATGATTCAGTTCCGCTAGTGCACGTTCACTGAGATCACGGATACTCGCTGGATGGTTTATAGAATCCAAGCCTGGCAGTGGTTCAAGTTGTGTTGTTGACCTATCTCTGACATGCGTGTCTAGATCTATAATAGAGGACATCATCCAGGAATAAGAATCACGGTAAGAGAAGGTCAGCATTAGCGCCAACAACATCACTTTCGATGTCAAACGTAAACTATGTTTTATTGAACTACAGTAAAGACAACGACTGACACACTATCACTGATTCTCAGCAGTAAGCTCAGGCTATAGTTACAACGTAGATATACAATGATCGTTGACAAACGGGTTAACGTACCACAGGGTATAGTGTACCGCAGCGAAAAAAAGGGCTGGACATCACTGGCAGACCTGGGATAATCACCCGTGTCTTCCAAGACTACGGGCGCTCTTGCTCACATTTTTCGCTTCTGCTTGTTTTGCCTTTGCACGCCTTGCACTACATCACTGATCAGCATATATAGCATCAACGCAAACATATGACTTACTCCTCTAAGACTTCACGCTCCAACAGCTTCACATGCTCTTTTGCGGCCTTGGCTGCAGTCCTGGCCTCTAGCAGAGCCCTATCAGCTGCCTTCTCTGCGCTTTCTGCATCTGCAACCTTTTTGCGCGCAGCCATGATAGTTGGTTCCTTATCAATTCGACTGTCAACGGTCGATGTACCTGAACTCCTGGTAGGGGAGGGACGTCGAAAAAAGTTGGTATAGGAATTGTAGCCATTCGTGCCGGTAATGTCAAGTCCATCACGCGGAGGAGATCTCGAACGGCCACGGAAAATACTGGATATACGCTGTGGAGGTGGACCGTTGGCAGTATGGGTATCAGAATCGTGATGCGAGTTGAATAACTGCATGATCTATCAGCTACGATAAAGTCAATGACATGTTTTGCGGTGAGAGCCCACTGATTACGAACGTTATTCGCAAGGTCTGGACCTAGCAGTGACAGTGAATTTCTTGAGGTAGAGTCAGACAGACAATGTAAGAGGTACAGGGTATAACGATCGTTCAGAGGGTGAATCCGTAGGCTTTATGGTTTGTTGCATACCCATCAACGTCATTGGAGTCATTGTGATATGCGAAGGAAAGAAAAGAACAGATGGGCTTTTCGTCCGATGTTGGTCTGACAACGTGTAGAGGGCCGTGTTCATCTGAACAAGGTGAAATATGCTGAGCATGCTATGCTGTACAGTGGAGCTCAGGTTAAGCGCTGTTGCTTAAATTAAAAGAAGACATACGTTTTCATCTTGAAATTAAGTGCATGCAAGGTTCCACATTGCAGACACAGAGCTGTGACTGGGATATAATGAAAGCTCCACTTATCCTTTCAGAAGCTTCACTGTAGACGACAGCCACAGAGACGTGGTCTGTGCGTGGGAATGTGGACTGAGAGCAGAGCTGAGTTCGAAATCGTAAGCCTTTCCCGTTAGTTAACTTAGTATAAAACCCTTGCTTCTCTATTCCTCCCACGTTGGATTACCGTGCGCTCGCTGCGCGAAACGTCCCCGGCGCACTGACGCGATGTCGAATAAGATTGTGGTGAGCTGCTCACCCGACTGTGTCTGTAGTAGCCCACTTGAGTAACGAAGATATTCTTGAGCCCACAATTTACCGCGCCGTTATAGACGAAGTTATTGCTGCCATTAAGCCCGAATTCGATGAATATGGCGTTGGTGAAGATGTCCTCGCCGAATTACAGCACGTAAGTACATTGATTTTCCACTATTTCTCAAATTATAGTCGTCAATACTTTTATGCTGTTCTGGTGCCGCCTTTTAGAAATGGGAGAGCAAAGTCATTGCCTCCCATGTAGCGGAATTCGAGCCACCACCACCACCGCCACCTGTGCAGCAGCATCACGGGTATCCGCCGCATCCCATGCATATGATGCAGCAACACCCTCACTATCCACCTCCTCACAACCCTTATGCTCCCCAACAAGCAATGGTGCCTCCTCCTCAGCAACCTCATATAAAGTCGGAACCTGTCGATACCCGTTACGTTCTCGCGGGACCTGCTGGAATGCCTTCGTATGCTTTACCACCGCTTCCTGGTCCTCAAATAAACGGGCTCAAGCCGCCTTACACTGGTGGGCAAACCAGCGTTTTGTCCTTTCCGCCTGGTCCCCCTGGAGGCCGACCACCAGGACCGCCTTTGACTCGGACTTACCTCCCTCCTGCGTCTACTCCTGCAAGTGCTCCTGCTGCACAAGCTCAGCAGCCTGCTCAGACACAAGCGCAGTCACCAGCACAACGAATACCACAGGTCGACGGAGCATCATCCTCAGAATCCGAATCTCCTTCCCCTCCCCCAAGTCAGTCGTATGCACCTCGGGCTTCTCATCCGTCGCTTCCTCAACCACCTCAATCTTCCAAATCAACGCAACCGGACGATTCTGAAGCCATTAATAGTGACCTTGATGACTCCGATACCGAAGGCGAAGAGGAAGCGGATGAAGCTGGAGTGGGTGAAAGTGATATTGTTTTCTGCACCTACGATAAGGTTTGTTTCTCCGTTGATGGATCGCATGGATTCTTGATTAATAAAACTTAGGTTGCACGAGTAAAAAATAAATGGAAGTGCATCTTGAAGGACGGGATGATCCATATAAATGGCAAAGATTACTTGTTCGCTAAGTGCACAGGGTATGTATTTTATATTAACACCAGCATCACGTATATGCTGACATATTTGTAGCGAATTCGAGTGGTAACTCATCCTGGTCTGATGTGCCACCGAGTCCGGTTTTGCCTCTTACTAACTCCCCCATTACCTGTTCTACATAACTATCACCGCATTCGAGTTAAATCGTGTCATAGACATTGTATATTATATTCATCACCAACAATATGAAAAGCATTCAACCGTGCACCTGAGATTTGAAAGACAATCATTGTGATGCTATTCACGCATATAGCGAGGACCCTTACTATAGGGGTCTGGTTCTGCATATAGCCACACCACTCCTTCGCCATCTTGAAGGTCAATCCCTTCTTTTTCAAAATACTCTGTCCATGCAATAAACACGTCAATTGCAAGCTCGTCCACAGAGCTAGCAACTAGGAATCCAACGGTGCGGACGATTTCGAGGCGGGGGAAAAGAGTATGGTTGAATGACTTCATGTGTGCTTTTACGCCATACAAATTCGAATCTGCACTATCATAAAGCCGCTCAATCTTGACGCCTCGCAGGCCAATGCGGCGGAGCGCCTGATGTGGTGTTGGAATGTCTACCACTGCAGGCTCGATGGAATGAAATACAAGCTGTTCAAGGTTAGGACATCCCTCTGGCCTGAGGAAATGAGATACACGAAAAATAGGGAGATTGTAATGGCATGGCGGCAAGTCGACCTCGAGATCAACGATACGAGACCCATGCAAGCGTAAGAATGATTCTAGCGCATGAATGTACGAGTCCTCGCGGAGTTTCTCCCTCCGCGTGAACACCACACGACGGAGCGCAGGGAGCTCAAGAGCTCCAGCGAACTCGAGGCTTGATATTTCGCTCGACACGAGGAGCTCACGTACGCAAGGTAACACGTGAGTAATGTGATTATCATCCAGCATAAGCGTCGAGATAGAGCGAATGTCAAGCACACGCAGTGCTTGAAAAGATTGCACGAAAGCGTGGCTGCTACAGGGATTTTGTATAGTTAGCCCATCCCAGGCAAGCCCTATGAGCGACTGCCCGTACAACTGTGAGACGGCGGTCTGAAATTCTTCCGGAACGCCAAAGCGAAAGGACATGCTCAGTGCGCGTAATTGTGGACAGTGGCGCAGGATATGGAAGATATCCATGATGTAACGAATGTAACTCCGAGTCGTAAATCGAGTATGCGCGCATATATCGATACGACGTGCCCACTGTCCGTGTGAGCCGGGGACGAATAGTAGATTGAAACTTTTGCGAGCCTCGCCACTCGCGTCTGGGATGGGGTCCGAGCAACGACTCAGCGCCATGGCAGTAAGGATTTTGCGGGCTCGCCAAGGGCTATAGACGGTGATGTGCTCGTAGAGTAGCTCGGTGGCAATGGCTCTCCATAAGCGACACACTTGTACAATGGTGCTCTTCGTCTGCATGGACGCCGCCACTGTGTTTAAGCTCATTGCATTGTGCGGGAGGGGCTGGGGCTGGAATGGGTCTGATGGTGTGATATCTCTAGAATGAGGACGGAAAGTCGCATGGTGGAATATCTCTAGCCACAGCTCTGGAGGTAAGCTTATAACAGTTCCCAGTGTTTTTGGTGTGCTGTGAACACACACGTCCTCCTTCTCAATAAGTTCTGTCTGCTGTGTTTCCTTCTCCTGGAGGGAGAGTGAGGTTTGCTAGCGTTCATCAATACTCCCCTAAAGAACCTTACCATGATGTTGTGCAGACTTGCGATCGTCTTGGATGTCAAATAAATACGAATGATAACTGTAAAGCTTGTCAGCAGTAACACCCAAACGTCCCGGCAATGCTCGATGATGCTGTCGATTTCAGGATGGACTTCAAGAAATGAGCTGAGGTCCATTGCGGCGAAGTCTACTTAGCTTCAGTTTGAAACTCAGCGACAGTCTATACAGCAATCTCAGCATACAGGTTTCTCGCTGAGCTGGCGCATACAAGGTTGTTTGTCTGTTCAGCAGGCACTAACATTAGTTTTTATTTATCAAATGTATAAAAGCAAGAGACCCAGATAAGCACAACACCAACAAAGTTACTATGCATGTACCATAGCGAGATCATGAAATAGATTTCGGGAACCCTTCTGCACCCAACAACGCCTCTTCCGCGCCCAGCACTCTAGGACCATCTCCGACACGGGTATGGATCAGGTTTTTGACAGCTCCTACTTCAAACTGCTTGGCCACAGCCGTGTTGAACCCAGGTATCACCCCTCCTTCTGTCACGCCTGCAGCGCCGAATAGACCGAATGGATCCTTGAATGGATCCGCTTGTGGGAAGTATTTAACAATCATTTCTACGATCTCGCGCAAATTCTCCTTCGGTGCATAGATGACTGCATTGGGACCGGCGTCATAGGTGTAAGCGGCTTTGAGCTTGCCACCTGCCTCGACGGATACACGATTGTACTCAACGACGAGTGCAATAATTGCACGGCTGACGTCATTCATGTAGAAGATTGGAGGCTCAGTATCGAGTGCGACAGCGTGGAACTGGTTCGAGTCTTGCATTGTAATGCGAGCGAATGCGTCAAAGTCGCGAGCCTTGATGGCTTCGGAGATTGCGCGCATACGCTCCGGGACGACGTGTTTGATACGGTGCTGAAGGAGGGCAGATGTCTCGACGGTACGCTGCATCCCAGAGGTGGATGATGTGCCTTTCTTGTCGTCGGAGACAACACAAATGAGGGCGTGGATATCGGGCCAGTGTTCACGAGGTGCGACTTCAACTGCGAAAGAATCCGATCCATCAGGGGAAGTTCCCTGCTCCCAGGCGACAAATCCGCCGAACAAGGAACGACACGCTGAGCCAGATCCTTGCCGGGCGATCAGAGAGAGTTTGGAGGGAGAGGCAGGAAGTTTGTAGAGAGCAGCAAGTGATGAAACAAGAGCAGCGAATCCAGAAGCGGAAGAGGCAAGACCTGCCGCGGTGGGGAAGTTATTGCGTGAACAAATGTGGACATAAAAATCCGATAGCTGTCATTATCGCTGTTAGCTAGAAGGATATGCATAAATCTGTATTCAAGACATACCTTGGGCTCATTCGGGTTCTGGTCTTCATATTCCTTTCGCATGCGTTTCATCTCTGAGATGCAGGTGGCTAAACGCCCACCGGCTTTGATTTCATCCTCTGTACCATTGAGCCAGAGTCTATCCTTGGTGAACGATGGGTCGGCCCGAGAAGTCGTGGTAGAGCGCAGATGATCTTGATCTAGTGTAACAGACAGCGATGAATTCGTTGGGAGAATCAGCTTCGTGTCTCGTTTTCCCCAATACCTATATCAAAGATCAAGATATGCAAGACAAGCTGATGCCTGATGTCTCACTTGATACAGGCGATATTGACTGGAGCAGATGCAGTTGCTTGATAGACGGCCATTTTGAGGAAGTGAGAGAGATAGAGGCGTGTATGATAGAGCTTTTATATTACAATCCGATGGTATCGTACGTTGGCAATGAAAACCGGTGCTGAGCCCGCCAGCCTTTGGGCCATATAGAGTCGCAGATGGCCGCAAGCATATTGCCTGATCCGACAAAACAGAGGAAAATAACGAAAATCTGATTATTATGTAATATAGGGTCACAGATCTGTGACGCATTAGTCATTGTGGCACCGGGGATCTGTGTTGCGTCGTCGTTTTGCAGCGCTTTACCAATTTCTCTTTTGTGTCGATAACGGTTCAGACCACAGCGGATACGACAACAAGGACGGGTATCATCAAAAAGAAAGCAAAAGTACAGCTATATTCTTGTCTTTCTTGAAGTCTTAACCTTTGTATATTCTGTCAAGGTCTTTGTCTTGTCTTAGGTCTCGCTTATATTGGCCCAACACTCCACAGACCCATTCTCGCTCAGGAGTTTCGTACATTGGCCAGCACAGTCAAGAGTGCAGCCAGATGCAATGTTTTACCCTCAGCAATCCCCGGCTATTGCTCACAAACTCGCAAATCACCATGAACAGTCAGTTTGGACCCGTTCGCACCACCCAGTGCTAGGTCCTCCAGGCTCTCAGAATATTGGCCCTCCCCCCGGATCCCCTGGTTATGCTCTATACACAAATGGCTCTGTTGCCATGCATCATCCGGGGCATCCTCACGGCCTCGCCCACCCACCCATGCCTCACCACCAACACCAGAATTCCCTATCCCATTATCCATCCCCACCCAACGGTCACATGCACACCCAGCACATGGTCCAAGGCTCCCCCGGAAGTGCACCAAGCCAAATCATCAATCCTCAATGGCAGCAGCAGTTGCTAAAGTGTGAGGTGAGTATCTTAGTTTGCATATTACACAAATAGGCTACACGTCTGATAAATCTTCCAAGATGGTTCGTTCTTCTCGTTCTCCCCATCACCGTGCCCGTGCCAGTGCCATGGCTTCTCGCACCGTCACTAAATCAGCAATCACAATCACAAACCCCAATTTGATCAAGCCTAGCCCTAGTGCAAGTACTGACGTCAATGATGCGGCTTCAAAGAGCAGTGACGGAGCATCCCCAGTTCCGGCAGCTGCAACAAGTACATCTGAAGTTTCCCCAAGTGCAGGTAGTGCTTACGTCGCAAATCACCCATCCTCAACTGTCGCCCCGATAGCAGAAATTTCAAGGATTACTGCGAGTAAACCACCGCAGAATAGCTGGAATTCCTTGGATATGGGCGGGGTTAACCTCAAGAACATTCCTTCACATTCTGGTCTTTTCTCATTCACCTTCCTTATCAACCTATATCTCAATCACAACGCCTTGTCATCTGTACCTCCCGAGATTGCGAAGTTGCGGCACCTCGAGCTTCTAGACCTCTCGGGAAACAACCTCACCGTTATCCCGTCAGAGGTTGGTATGCTCACACACCTCAAAGAACTCTATGTATTCGACAACCACATCAGCACGTTACCATCTGAGCTTGGTACCTTGCACCAACTACAGACTCTTGGAGTGGAAGGGAATCCTCTAGATACATCGCTCAAAGCCATCATACAAAAAGACGGTACTCCGGCTTTGATATCCTTCCTCCGTGATTCATGTCCCGTGCCCGTTCCTCCACCAGAGCGGCAGTGGAAAAACCTCATTAGTCAAGCAGAAAGAGACACGCTAGCATCAGATCCAAACACAGAAACCTTCAGCGTTCTCTGCTATAACATTCTTTGCGAGAGGTTCGCCACGGAGCGATTGTATGGATACACGCCTTCTTGGGCATTATCTTGGGCTTACCGCAAGGAACTCATTTTAACCGAGATCGTGAATTACGATTCGGACTTCTTGTGCTTGCAGGAGGTGGACATCGCACAATACGAAGATTACTTTATCAAGAACTTGAAGGCACATGACTACGAAGGGGTGTACTGGCCAAAGTCACGGTACAAGACCATGAGTGATGCTGACCGACGGCAGGTAGATGGCTGTGCCATCTTTTACAAGGCGGATAAGTGAGTCTTAGCCGTTGTTGTGTCAAAACCCTACTCAATCCTTTCATTAGGTATCAATTAGTAGAGAAGCATCTCATCGAGTTCAGTACCGTAGCGATGCAGCGTCCGGACTTCAAGAAAACGGATGATATGTTCAACCGCGTTCTTGGGAAAGACCACATCGCCGTCATAGGTCTCTTTGAGAATAAGGAGAGCGGAACGCGCATCATCGTCGCAAATGCACATCTTCATTGGGACCCTGCATATCGGGATGTCAAACTCGTACAAGCTGCGCTACTGATCGAAGAGATCGAGAAAATTGCCAATGATTTTTCCAAATATCCGCCACGCCTACCTCCTACATCATCATCGTCCTCGGACTTTGACAGTGCTTCATCCAAGCCTTCGCGGGTGCCTCCAACGTATTCTGACGGAACGAAGATTCCAGTGATTATAAGTGGAGACTACAACTCGATTCCCGAAAGCGGGGTATACGAGTTCTTGGCGAACGGAAGCGTGCCGCACGATCACCCCGATTTCATGTCGCACATGTATGGGAGATATACATCTGAAGGACTGAGACATCGACTCGGGCTGAAGAGTGCATACGCTGGCACAGATGAGCTTACCTTGACGAACTACACACCCAGCTTCCAAGGTGTTATCGATTACATCTGGTACTCAACTGGAAATTTGGGTGTTAACGCCGTCTTGGGAGAAGTCGACAGAGGTTATCTTGAGAAAGTCGTCGGGTTCCCGAACGCTCATTTCCCTTCTGAGTAAGTACATGCCTTGAATGACGTTAACCTGATGCTGATTTTTTTTTATAGCCACGTTTGCATCGTTAGCGAGTTCCGGGTTAAACCTCCGAGGGATAACCCTCCACGACCGCCACCCGTCTTCTCGACGATGAATGGTACACATTAGCAGCAGAGTATCATGGCTTACCCACATACTCTCATTTATAACATTTCTTGTACGCATTATAGCCGGTACATTGGTTCAGGTACATGAGGTCCCATACATATCGTTTGTTCTATAACATCCTCTTTTTATCTCTTACTCGTCGAATCCGTTCTCCCTTTTTCTCCCCTCCCCTCCCTCTTGTGTCGATGTTGCCCCTTACTTTTCCCTGATTATATTCATTACGGGTTTCTGTTCCTTTTTGTTTCCCAGTCTCCATATTTTTTTCAACTTTTTTGTAGCAATGCGCGTGTACGGCTTTGGGTATGAAACGATTTCTCGCTATTTTGCTCTCTCTTCGTGCATGGCTTACTTTCGCTCTCGTACATGACGTTGCGACCTCATGGTGTCTTGATTATTGGATTTATAGTTACTGTTAATATCATTCTACCCCTCTTGATCTCACTGTAAGACGCTACGGCATTGCAAGCTGCCACATTGTCATAAGAAAGATCTGAGTGTCGACCTTAGCGCTTCTCAGAGACTGGGAGTGGCAGATCGTGCTGAATTCATTAATATAGCATCGCCGTTTTTGCACACGACGGTGGCGCTATGTTATCGTGGAAATTAATTTCGGTCAGCTCTTTCTTTCCGTTAGATCTCTTAGTACCGCATCGTCACCATGATTTCCCACTACTCAGTTTTAACTCTGCAATCAGCGCAGGTCTCCGTTCGCAGGCCTCACAAGTCGGTGCTCCACTTTTCCAACAATGGCACAATATCAATATCAATACCTATACAGACCCAACTGATGAACATCATACACGCTACTGTCCCTTGATTTGGTTTATCTGGCGCTAAGGATGGCGACTTAAACAAGCACGGAAAGCTTGATCGTTGCGCCGTGAGTGGAGGCATTGTAAGTCGCACGTGTCGTTGACAGATTTACAAGCTATGCTCAATGCCAATAGCGAGTTATCTATTATACAGAGCTGACTAGAGGTTCTCGCTATCCTCTCCCCTCCCTCCTCACATCTCACATGTCGCTGTGAAATTCGCTGGCCATCGTTTCTATTGACATACTTCCTGTTCTCAACAGTACCACTGTCCTTTGTCCAAACCAAACTACGAAGTCAGCCTCCACACGCTCCCAAAGTCTGTATTTATTTAAAATTATTTTCCTTTATCCAAAAGCGATACACGTGTTGTGTTCTCGCAGTCAGGTAACTATTCGTCAGCAAGGCGAAGGGCTTGCCCATCGAACTATGATATATGAAACATATTCTTGTGTTTTCTTCTTCTTTCGAGAACATAGTTCGCTGCTAACATAGCCAGTTACATTATTTTCTCATCTTTCGACTAGTGTGCCAACTAATAAATCCAGATAACATAATCTAATGAATGTTCTGTCTTTTGCTCTTCTAGACTCTTCCTTCACCTATGCCTTCTGTCACCACTCTCATTGATGACAAAGTTCCCCTCATAAAGTATGACAATACGTGGGCACCGGGCACTTCTGCGGACCCGCTGGCTGACGCGTATGTTTTTATTGTCTGGTTAAGCAACAATTTTCATTGAAGTTGGCGTATTTTATATTGCAGGTATTATCTCGGTACATTCACCAGTAACAATGTCACCAATGGTGCTGTAATGTGGTCTTTTAACGGAACTGCATTCTGGATATATGGTGCCAAACGACCGAACCATGGCACCTATACCGTCACTGTGGATGGCGCAAGCTATGCCAACATCGACGGATATTCTGCCGTCAATCTTTTTCAACAAGTACTCTTTAACAAGAGTGAACTTACCCAGGGAATGCATACTGTTACATTAACAAACACGGGGACAGGGTCTCTATACGTAGGCATTGATTTGGTTCGTCCACCAGTCTTCTCTGGTAACTGATCCAGAAAATTCATTCTACCACTTTTACAGATTGTGTGGCAGTCGGAGGTTGGAGGGGCGGGCGATCAGTTGGTAACTCAAACTGTACAAGATACAGACCCCAGTTTCCAGTATCAGGCTCCTGCATGGAATAGAAATCCACCTAGCGTCAATTTTTTCAACAATGGCACTGGCCAGTGAGCTATTTTCAGAAAATTTGTATTCTTTCCCAGTTGACATGGTTTCCAGCTCCACTAGTACTTATAGCGCCAGTGTTACCTACACTTTCACCGTGAGCAGTGGCCATTTTCCCCAGCGAGTAACTGGTCTAATTTCATTTCGTAGGGTGAGATATCATCGCTTGAGAGTTATTATCCTGACTTAACAGATCTCACGGCGTAGGCGATGCGATATCTCTATATGGCACTGTCGGACCGCAAAACGGACCATATTCTGTGCAACTGGACGGAGGAGAAGCTGAGACATTCAATGCCACTGCATTCATGTACTATCCGCAGACCATGCTATACCATGCTGATAATCTTGGATCAGGGAGTCATCAACTCACAGTTACGAATCTCCCTGCGCAGAACGGTCAATATTTGGGTATTGACTATGCTGAAATCTTGACGTTGTCTAGGTACGTGTTTGAAGATATTTATTTTTGACTGGTGGGTTTTGATAATCTGATTGCGCCCAGTAACTCAAACCCTCAGTCAAACCCTCAGCCAAACTCACAGCCAAACCCACAGCCAAGCTCCCAGCCAAGGTAAGTGGTGTGACATGTGACATCGTACCGTGAAAACTTATCAAACATACAGCACTGTAGACGCTGCCAGCACCTCAAGGTATGCAAATTCAAACCATCGTTGGCGTTTATTTGAATTTTCTTGGGACCTATAGTAAAATTGGTGTTGGACCCACCGTTGGAATCGTGATACCTGCCGTCGTCGCTGTTGCTGCTCTTATTGTTGCTGTTATATTCTACCGTCGATGGAGAGCCGCGCAAATATTTATACGGCATCATGATATTTACAGGATAAACAGCAACCCTCGACATAACGCAGGTCCAGCATCCATGGTCTCAGTGCAGCCTACACCTCTTGACACGAGCGAAACCAGCATCATCAGGGTTGATCCTATGTCAACCACGGGTTTGAGTACACGCAGGTCGTATCAACATTTAGACCATGGACGTCAGCTTGCACAGGCTTCTCAGCCACAACGGCCACCACTGCATGCAACGTCGGCAATTCATAACCGCACTGTACCAGATTCCGATGTTATTCAGGAATCTCGCGTCCCATTTAGTGACGTCTCGATTATCGCCAGTTCGGCTAGTCCCGAACAGTTATCATCAAATGGCGTGGTGAGAATTTACAGCCTTCTGAGAATGATGAGGGATGACTTCAACTTTTATGATAAATCTGGCTTTAGATACGCGTCGTCTCCCAACAGCACCTATCCCTGGATTTGAGGACAAAGATAATCAATCTTTATCATCAGTAGTTGTGGACAACTGACAGTACCGCAACATAGCCAGACCTTGCGGGACGATAGGACGAATGATAGTTTGGTGGATAGTGAAATGCCCTCACCGAACTATCATCAAGCTACAGGCTGAGGTCATACTTTCAACTCCACGAAGCAGACTTAAAACATTATTTTCTAGCCTCTAATTTTTAACTGTATGGGTCCATTGAACTCTTTATGTTAGTACTGTCATACTTGTTGTATGCAACACCAGAAGTTGAATGTGTGACCCATGTTGAGTTCCAGTATGAACTCGACAACATTTAGGCCTCATTTGGCCCAGTCTCCTACCCACCCTCTATTTCGAGAGAGGAGGGATATATCCTAGTGCTTTGATGTTGAGATGATATACAAAAATAAAATAAAAATAAAACACATCACATGACTCGAAAATTTGAACGTCCCTTGCTCTCTCTCCCAGTGGTGGAAGGGCCTTGGGTACCGCTGTTGGCACTATAGTGCCTTCGGCACATGGGCACCCCCAGACAATGATGACAAGGCCCAAGGTGCCTATGGCACCGAAAGATCCCGAGCAACTCCGGTCTCACCCTGCAGGACATTCGAGCAGCAGTGTCGACAGTTGCAGCTCAAAATAATGAGCATTCAGAGGCAAGGGTTTTGAAAGAGCAAAGAGGGCATATTTAGACAGACAGTGTGTATCTATATTACATGAAATATATAAGTTATATCCCAAAAATCATGGTGCCGAAGTCAGCACAGACTCCTTGAAAGTGTCCATGTCCAAAGACTCGTCTAACTCACCAGGAGCATCCAGACTAACCAGGTCATATAGCTCAAGTTCCTCATTTAAACCTCATAGTGAAAACCTCTCCTCTACCTGTATCCAAGCTGTATCCTCGAAGTTGAATAGCTGAGAGATTGATACATGTATTTGTCCGAATGTCACAACCTCTGGGTCTTCATCTGCATCCAGACAGCCATGCAAACCTATGATTATGTCGTCCATTGAGTTCCCGCATGTAGAAGATGGACTATGTAGAGCTTCTGCCTCCGAGTTTGAATTGTCAGGCGGGTGACCTGGATTACTAGCAGGTTCAGCTTCACCCAAAGTGAAGTCGTTGGTTGACATTGAGAGTATTTGGCATTTGCGCAGCTTTTGTTTGAGTATCCCCAAGTGGACATGTTCATCACGTAGGTGAAGTTGGAGCTCAGCAAGATCAGTCATTGATTTGATACTCATTCAAGAGCGAAGCTGGGTGAGGATAAGCCCAAAGGCACTGAAAAGTCTCTCGCAAGAGGCTGAGTTGGCTGAGACAGTGAGTAGATGTCTTGCAAGACATTCAAGAGGTGTTGGGAGTGGGTTGACTAGGTTGGTCATTGCAATGTAGATGCTCATTGGGTCAACAGACTTGTTCTGTCAAAGGGTAATTGAGTGTATTACAACAAGTAAATTTACTTACTTCGCTAGCTGCTAATGCAGTTTCACGCCAAATGTGATCTGGGAGCTTTTCATACCGGTCTTGGTTACTGAGATAACTCACAAGCTCACGGTAGAGCTGAATTGGGGCCTCTTCTTTGTAAAAGCGCATCCACAGCCGACTACAGAGCTCCCAGACTCCTGCTGCTGTCATGAACTCAACACTGGAGCTGAATGGAGATGCCTTGTAGAGAGGATTAAGTATTACTGCAGCAATGAATATGTCTTGGTCTGATTTCTCCCAGCATTTCTCGATGCTTTTCAGTGTTGCTCGCATGAGTGGGACATCAGTTGGGTCATTGGGAGTGTTCAAAATAGATGATAATTTGGAAAATAATATTCCAAAGGTAATCAGGACTTGGTCAAGTCGACAATATGTTGCCTGAGTAATATTTGCTGCAAGTGCAAGTGGTTCAAGGTGTTTTTGAATCCTATGGAAGCCTAAGTGTGAGAAAAATCTCAGACCAGAAAAAAGTCATACTGCGCTATGGTGTGCCAAAAAAACACATTATTAATAGTCTCTACCATTCTGTCGGCCTTCTCTAAAGCCTGTCGGTCTCCAGTTCTGACCAGCCGTTCAGCAGGTATTTTTTGGGCATCCGCAGCCACAATTTGTTGCAAAGTAAGTCGTAGTTCAAGTAGACGCTGAAATGCAAGATAGTGTGCTCTCCATTGTGTAATCACAGGGCGGATAACAGATTTTGCAGAGCCAGTGAGTATTTTTGAGGTAGAGCAAATGAGAGCAGTAAGGAGTGTTTTGCTCCGTATCCATGTAATGAGGTCAATAGCCTTTGTTGAAAAATCGGATACAAACTGTGCCTCCTTGCAAGCAAAATAGTCCCCTACAATGAGGTTAATTTGGTGTGCATAGCAATCTAGGACTATGATTTTAGGCCTATCTTGACAAAGGATTTTTCTTGCCTTGCGAGACTCCCCAGAAGCGTCAGAGGTAAATGCAATGAGGATCACATGCCAGCTAACTTTGAGTATCTCCTGTGTTTTCTTGATGAGTGTATATAGGTTGTTGGCAGTTTTTCGTTCAGAGGACACATCATAAACCTTCACAGTATGAACCTACAACTTGAAATAGGTCATACAGTTATGAAAAATCATAAAGGTGGCTTACCTCACGGGATGCTGATATGACCATAAACACAATTATGTGGTGTGAGTTGACACTGGTCCATCCATCGCACTGTCCTGTCACAAGCTGTCCACTAAGGCTTCTTTTTGCCATTTCACAATAGTGTTCGGCCTCTGCGGGGATAAGTTGATTAGACAGGACTTTGCTGCTGATAGGCTGGGCATTCAGAAGCAACCTTTGGCAGAACTGAATCCATTCAGGGTTTTCAACCCATTGGAATGGTAGACCAGCTGAAGCTGTGAGGCGGGTAAGGCATCGTCCAAACTCTTGCTGCATCTCGATACTCCATTGCAATGTTTGTGATGGTTGATGCAAGAAGCTTTTGCGGCTGCATTTTGATGGAATTGTGGCATGAGTCTGATTAAAATCTGGCAGATATGGGGAAGCTAATGTACCCGGAGATGTACTTGGGGTCTGAAAAGGTGATTCAGAGCTGAAGTGTGATCTCAAAAGTAGGAGGTTTGGAAGAGGTGACAATGATGAGGGACCAGCTTGCTCATAATTGCTGCGGGTTCATTTCAAAGATGGTGATGCTGCTACAGAATAACCATGGTTCTCGCATTCATGTCTGGCACGCTGGCGGACAAATTGTGGCTGGTTTGGACAATGAAGAACTAGATGTCGCAGATCTGTGTCTATGCAAGATAGAAGCCAGGGTTTGTTCTCGGAGTGGTCAGCCCACACTAGTGTAGTCATATTAGTCTCATGCTATAGTGCAAATAGTCCTACTTACTGTCACTTTCAATCATTTCCTGAGTACGTGCTGTCACTCTCTTGTTTTGTGTGACATCTTCTATGTTTTGTATCTTATGCTTGTCCACTATTACGGGCCAGCACATGTTATATGCAACTTTTGCACGCTTGCCATCCTTGCTTGCAAATAATGTCGGATCCTTATCTTTGTACTTGGGATGATCTGTAAAGTTATCAATTCTCCACCAATCTCGTTCTCGAATCATTTTTTTGGACTGATGATGGACTGCGAGGCTAGGTAAACCAAGTGGTGAAAATCCAAAAGGAAGTAAGTTCGTGCCAGCTCTTCTGTCAGACTCGAGATTATATACAAAGAATACATGAGGAGAAGGGGCAGTAAACACAATACAAGCTTTTTGTGGTATGAAAGCCATGCAGTTAAGTCACAGCAATGGTGAACATATTGATGACAATCTCATTGATCTCCGATCAGGCTGCATAAGCACCTTACACATATGTGATTACTCAGACATAGTGCCGTCTCAAGTACCATACACATGATCCAGTGCCCCAGAGTGCCATGGAGGCACCTTGGGCACTCTGATAGGCACTGTTTTTGAAGGCACGGCTCATAATAAAAGATTTGCAATCACAGGTATGTAATCAGTTTTCTACACCATTGCCCCCTAATTGTTTATTTGCGTTGCCAGCTCGATGTGCACTACAAGGAAGGAATGAAGGTATCAGATGACACCTACATTTGTATCCCTATGGATGCTATTCCCAAGTAAGTTTTCCGTAACTTTCTAATCACCGATTGCTCACTCACTTATCTGAAGTTCCTTGGTGGATATATGGAATTCTGATGAGACACTCATGGCATTCATATGTACCAATCTTCCAGCAAAAATTTGTCATTCTCTCACAGGTAACCTACTAGCTGTGTTTGGGAAACCTGACCTATTGGCAGAGAAGAACACTTGAGTAGATGCTGACTCTACATTTGAAGCACTTCACTTGTCATGGTACAACCGTCACTGTACCAAGGTAAAGTAATTCCTTACCATATGTTCACTTAATGCTGATCCTTTACAGGGTCACAAAGCCCTATCTGATGTGCCACCGTCTATGCTTGACAAAGTGGGCTGCAAACGTACCAATCACAGCCAGATGATCCCCTATATATCCAAGGACATCAATAATAACCAGGAATTATTTCAGTCCCTCAAAGTTGTGTTTGAAGAACTGTTTGATTGGATACATTGTATTGTAAGTGGTACTCCCTCTTTATTCACAGCTATCTCATCATTGTATCAGATGCAAACCCACCTGCCTGAAGAGTGTCAGATGCTCGAGCAAGTTGCATCTATCTTACCAGGAAACCATTGCTCCCCAGCCGCCCCCTTCCTGTCAATTGTCATCAACATCAACGTGCAAACAAAGGCTCACCAAGATAGCAAGGATCAGGAGCTTTGTCTTGTTCTCCCCATTAGAACATTTAAGGGGGCTGCTCTTGCCATGGTTGAGACAGGCCTTGTTATTGAGCTGAACCATGGGGACTTTGCAATTTTCAGGTTGTCTGATATCACTCATCTCAACCTTCATTATGAAGGTAAACGTGCATCTGTAGTGCTCCATACTGACCATGAATTTGTTTCTTGGGCTGCTGATAGAAATGGCTGGATGGAAAATGAAGCCATGAGGACCTTTGTATAAGTACATTGTTTGATATATTGCTTTACTGTACACATTGTTTTTCAGCCAAATCTCAGTGGCACTTGTCAGGTATAATTGTATTTGGCCTAGAAGGCTTGCCCTAAACTTTGCAGAAAAATGGTGACTTCTCATTTGCGCTCCATTCTTTTTTCACTTATTTCTCACAGTCTAATTTTTCAATGGCAGGAAAAAGAAATTCCAAGGGTAAATCTAAAGCTCCTGGCTCCAAGGCTAAAAATGATACAGTTACTTTGAATGCTGAGGAGTATCAGCATATTGTGGATGCTATGAATTCTGGTGTAAAATCTACCCAAGCAGCTCAAAAAGAGGCATTGGAAGCCAAACGTCAAGGTAACATATATATTCTGGTTTGGTAAAAGTATATTAATCTCCCCTCTCAGAGACAAAAAAAAGGCAGCTGTTGTAATGGAAGAAGAGGATATTTACGACTATGATGATGACCCAGTTACACCACTAAACCCTCCTAGAAAAAGACAAGCCATGGACTCAGACCATGATTCCAATGAGGATGATTTTCAAGGGATCCTAACTCAGAAAGCACCTACAGGGGATAATAATGAGTATTACAAGGATGAGGATGAGGAAGCTAGAGCTGAAAGTAAGCAATCATTATTTCTAGACAAAGATACTAATATTAAATTGTTACCCAAGATTTTGATGACAAGGGAAAAGATGGACCAATTCTGGATGAGCAAGTACATTTTTAAATTAGTATCTCTTACATCCATAGAGCTAACAGCTTATATTAGCCCAATTTCAGACCCATTGTTGGGCAGGAAAAGGCTAAATCATTGGCGTACTCCTCTTCTTCTAGTTTTTCCAGAAAATCTTCCACAACTTCATCCAGGATGTCTTCAACTTCTACTTCTATCTCAACACCTACAGCTGTCTCTTTACTGTCAAAAATTGGCAAAAGACGTAGAACCACCCTGGATATGTTTCCTAGTTCTCTTGTGGACCTTGCTACAGCTGGGCATGCTACAATGAGATTATACATTGCGACTCAAGAGGGTTTTCCTCCCCCCACATCACACTTTGAGTTTACTTGGAACAGACTTATCAATGCCTCCCAAGGTTGCAGAGAATTACAAACCAAGCTTTTAGAGGTTCAAAGTAATGAAGAAATCAAAACCATATTGATTGACTATGTATGTATTTCCACCTTCAATAATGTTATACTAATCAAGTATTTTGTT